AAACTGTCAAAAAAAGTTAAAGGAAAATATATTTTTTCTTTACTATACAAATTATTGTCGATATTTTATCGATAAATAATACAGAAATCGATTTTATTTCTTTGGTGACCTATAGTGAAATTCGATGAGCAATATTTTTTCCATTGGAGGCTTTCCCCAAAAATGACAAATATTGGGAGTTTTTGACACCAAATCTAAATTGCTACTAAAATACATTTTCTCTTTATTATCCAGATTAGTATCGATATTTTTTCGATAAATAATATAGATATCGATTTCTTTTGTTCGTTAACCCATAATGAATTTCGATAAGGAATATAATTTCCTCCAACAATTTTCCCCAAAAATGCCAAATTTGGGAAGTTATTGCCATCAATTGAAAACTGTCCCAAAAAAATTAAACAAAAATATATGTCTACTTTATTACCCAAATTGTTATCTGTATTTTCTTGATCATTTTAACAGTTATCTATTTTATTTCCTTGGAGGCCCATAGTGAAATTTGATGAGGAACAACTTTTCCATTGACAATTTTCCCCGAAAATGAAAAATTATGGGCGTTTTGGGTATAAACTGAAAATGAACCAAACCATTGTTGTTCCAGCATCAGCATCAGCATCAACTTTTTATTGGGATTTTAATTTGTTGTTGTTGTTGATATTGCTTTTATGATCGATTTCTGTGGTAAAATTAATTAGCACCATTATTGCGAATGTGTTAAAAAAAGGATTTATGGAATGAAATTCCATAAATCTGATCAAGACAAAGACAATGGTTTTATATTATAGCCTATCTTTTATTTAGGGAATTCCAAGCACAATTTTTAAAAATACCCTATATTTATTAACCTCCATTCCGATACTCGTGATCCCCCCTAAAGTTCTCTCACACTTTTATTTTCTGCCAATCCCAAAAAAAAAGAAAATTTTGCTTTCTCTGGCACTTCATTAAGGTTAACACCTACCATTAACCGATTTTTAGTGCAGATACCCACAAAAAAAAAAAAAAAAAACAATTTTTATTGCCACCCCTTCTCCCTCTCCAAGGCCATAAATTCCATTGTTAATGAACGGCGAAACATGAAATGACAAACCAAAAAATATTTTTTCGAAAAAATTTTGCGCATTGTTCCTCTACATTTTTATTATTAAAATAAGTTCCTTATTAACGTTTTTATTGTTGTTGTATTTTCTATTTGATCGTTGAGTTAATTTGCCTTGGCTCCTTTGGTCCCATAAAACAGCTAATAAATGTATAAAAAAATATACAAAAAAAATTAACCTTTCCCTCCATCAAATGGAAGCGCGAGAGCACCCGCACCCTCGAACTTACGAATAGAACAGAATTTTGTATTTTTTTTTTGGGGAGGGGTGACAGTCGCATTTTCATGGAATTTGTTTTGGTTGCTTTTATTATTATTATTTTCAAACACGCAGAAAATATTTGAAATTCAAATTATGAAACGCATGGCCATGCATGTGGGTTTTTGTATGGCAATGTGGGTCAAAATGGGGAAGTTTAGAGAGAAATTTTGAAGGAAATACTAAGAAAGCAAAATGCCAAGAGAGAGAGAGAGAGACTGAGAGTTGATACTCAGATAGGTCTTCTAGAGTCCGAAGAGATTTGCAAGAGGAGAAAGACTTATATACGCCCAAAAAAGATTGGGCGCCATTTAACCAAGAATATATTTTTATAAGTTTTCTTTATCAGCCCTGTTTTTTTTTTTCAAAAAAAATTGAAGTTGGATGTTAAGCTTTCAAAATCAAAAAATTCTAGGCAGACAAAGAATTTTTTTCAAAGTTATGGCCTCTAGAAATTCATAACAAAAAAATAAACCTAAAATTACAAATTTGAAGTAGTAGCATTTTTTACCCATAACTCGTATATTTTAGCAATTATATGACAATTTTTTTCTAAAAATCAAGAACTTTATTTTTCTGCTTTCAAAATTAAGTTATTTCATGAAGATAACATAACTAGTTTCTGAGTTATGGTCTCTTAAAAACAATAACGAAAAATTAGAAAATTATTAAAAAACGTAGATATGTGTATATTTTTACCCATAACTCCAATATATTCACATGAGTATGAGGATATTGTTTTACGAAAAGAAAACTACGTTCATCTGCTTTCAAAATCAAGTTATTTTATAAAGATAGCCCCACTACTTTCCAAGTTATGGTCTCTCGACTGAAATAACGCAAAATCAGGTACACTGCATGGAAATTAAGTACTCATATATTTTTACCCATAACTCGGATATTTTTGGATGTGCACCCAGATATTTATTTAGAAATAATAAATACTAACGTTCTACTTTCAAAATCAAGTAATTTCATGAATATAAACAAATTACTTTCGGAGTTATGCTCCCTTAAAAGCGATGACGAAAAATTAGCAAATAATTGAGAAAATTGGGTATGTGTACATTTTTACCCATAACTCCGATATATTCAGAACAATATGTAAATATTGTTTTGCAAAACGGGAGCTACATTCACCTGCTTTCCAAATCAAGTTATTTCATGAAGATAACCCAACTACTTTCCAAGTTATGGTCTTTCGAAAGGAATAACAAAAAATCTAGCAAAATACATAGAAATTAAGTACAAATATATTTTTACCCATAACTCGGATATTTTTGGACGTGCACCCAGATATTTATTTAGAAATAATAAATATTAACGTTCTACTTTCAAAATCAGTTAATTTCATGAATATAAACCAATTACTTTCGGAGTTATGCTCTCTTAAAAACCATAACGAAAAATTATCAAATATTTAAAAAATCTAGGTATATGTATATTTTTACCCATAACTCCAATAAATTCACAACAATATAAAGGTATTGTTTTACGAAAAGGAAGCTACATTCATCTGCTTTCAAAATCAAGTTATTACATGAATATAACCCAACTATTTTCCAAGTTATGGTCTCTGGACTGAAATAACGCAAACTCAGGTACACTGCCTTAAAATTAAGTAAAAATATATGTTTACCCATAACTCGGATATTTTTGGAATCGCACCCCCAATATTTACTTAGAAATAATTAACTTTAACATTTTACTTTCCAAATCAAGTTATTTCATGAAGATACACCAATTACTTGCCAAGTTATGGCCTCTCGAAATAAGTAACCAAAAACTAGGCAAACTGTAGAAAAATTAAGCAGGTGTACATTTTTGCCCATAACTTGGATATTTCTGCAATTTTATTGAGATATATTTTCATTGATTGAGAACTCTAACATTCTACTATCGAATTCCAAATTATCGTGGATATAAACCACTTACTTTAGGAGTTATGCTCTCTTAAAAACGATAAAGAAAAATTAGCAAATTATTAAAAAAAAACTAGGTATATGTATATTTTTACCCATAAATCCAATATATTCACAACAATATGAAGATATTGTCTCACGAAAAGAGAGCTGCATTCTTCTGTTTTCAAATCCAAGTTATTTCATGAAGATAACCCAACTACTTTCAAAGTTATGACCTCTGGAAAACAATTTCGAAAAATTACCAAGAAATGTAAAATATTTGAGTACCTGTTAATTTAAGCCATATCCCTGGTATTTTATAAGCTATGTCCAAAAAAATATTTTTTATAGAACATCACGCGTTTTTCTTTCAAAAAAATGTAATTTTAATAAGCTACACCAATTAGTTATCAAGTTATGATCACCACAAAATGACGACATAAAAATAATGTGAATTTCAAAATTTTGAGCACATGTGTATTTTGCCGATAACTCGTCAATTTTACAGTCATATCAGTTTGGTTCGTATTTTCTTATAATCTGCACCTCTTGTTTTTAAACTATATTTCATTTCACCTAAATAGACCTGTTACTTTTGAAGTTATGGCCCACGGAAGATGTGCAGCGAAAATTGACCAACAAGCCCAACAAATTGGTAACTTCTTTATTTTGCTGATATCTCCGAAATTTGTGAGACTACAGCAAAGCGACTTCTTGTCCATTTGAAGACAGCATTGTCTTCTTTAGAAATCACTTTGCTTCATGAATATATGTTGAATACTTTGGGAGATATAACCAACGCAAGCTGATTACCTAAAATAGACCAAAAAAGTTCATAATTTGGTAATTTTTATATTTGGCTGATATCTCTGAAATTTGTGAAAATGTGGCAATGTGACCTCTTGTTCATTTGAAGATAGAGTAGTCATCCTTAGAAATCACTTAACTTCATAGATATTGCAAATACTTTAGAAGATATGACCCACACTTGATAAGTACCAAGAATATATCAAAAAAGTTAATGCTTTGGTAACTTGAATATTTGACAGATATCTCTGGAAATCGTATAGCTACAGCAATGCGACTTCTTTCGAAGTTGAAGACAGCTTATTGCTCTCTTGAAATCTTGTCATTTCAATAAAATGCTACTATTCCTTGAGGAGATATGACCAATACAAGATGAGTACGCAAAATGGTCTAAAAAATTTGGGAAACGGGAAAACTTCTTCATTTGTACGATATCTCCGGCATTTGAGAAGCTACAACAATGTGACTCATAACAACTTTAAAGGCATGCTATTCCTCTCTCCAGATCAATTTATTTCAATAAAATATAGCATTTAGTTCGGGAGATATGGCTAAATGTACATGAGTACTGAAAGTGGGACAAAAAATGTAATAATTTGGTATTTTGTATATTTGGGTGATATCTCTGGTATTTAAAGAGATATAACTATATGACTCCTTAGAAATTTTAGGACTGCCTAGTATTCTTTCAAAATCTGGAAATTTCAATAAAATATCACTACTACTTTAGGAGTTATGGCCAACATAAGATGACCATCAAAAACAGTCTATAATATTTAGAAATTTGGTAGTTTATATATTTAGGCGATATCTCCGACATTTGGAAGGCTATTATTGTTTAATTTTTTTTTGGGAATGTAATTTTGTATCAGAACCAAAATCTTGTTCCTTTATATCTTTATAATAGGTTACAGAATATTAAACTTACCCGCAATACCTCAACAGTTGCCGGCCAATAATGTATCCTTCTTTGTTTTGATATTTTATATGTTTCTACTTTTTTCTCAAATTTTCACACACATTTCTTTTTTTTTTAAAGAGTAAAAAAGCCTCTCTGCAGCACACAATAATTCACACTCACTCACAAACTTGACCGTATTTTGATACGATTTTTTTTCTCTATAAAAAAATTAAAAATAAATTTTATTTTTTTTTTTATTTGGGAAAATTATTTTGTATTCATACAACAACAAATGTCACACGCGTGTTTTGTTATTAACACAAATATTTGTTAATATAATATTTTTTTTTTTCAAATATTTTTTAATATTTCTTTGAATTTTTGAAAAAGAGGGGGACAGAATTTCAGGAAGATTAATGAAAGACAGACGGAATTTGAAATGAAAATCTTTTATATTTTTTTGTGGTTGTTGTATTTTGTTTTCATTCTTCTAAAATAGACAGGCAATTTTTAATAAGCCCAACAAGAAACAAGCAGATCACAAAAACATGAAAAAGAAAGTGAATATTAAAATGAACATCACATTGACGCATGATTTGAAATGATTCAATTTTGAAAATTTATTGGGAGGTGTAAGGAGGATATTTTTAAAAATATTAAAAAATCTGATTTAGGGTCCTCTATGGTTTTACATGGAAGGCAACATTAAACCTACAAAAAAATAAAAAGAAATCCAATTTATAGCCATTTTGATCATTTTCAAAATATGCGTTTCGAAAAATCTACAGTTTTCCCAGATTTATAATTTTTGGAAAATATTTTTTCTATTTTTTTTAATTTTTCTCACTTAAGTACTCTTTGAGATATATTCCATCCAATATAAATATTATGACATCAATTCTTCATAAACAAAATTTCGCAATATATGCCAATATTTCTTCCCGAAATTCATCGAAATAATACTTATGAATTTCATTTTATTGATTGATTATTCATTATTTCCTTTCCGATGGCAAGACAGACAGACACACAAGAATATTATAAACAACATTTTTTTTTTTTCAAAACTATTTTGTTGTTTCTTCATGTATTTTGTTTTGATTGCACAAATTTAGGCGATATTGCGGAGGAAATACACTGGACTACAAACAAATATATTTTTGTCCGATACTGAAGCCGATAATGAATGGTTCATAACATTTGAAAAGGGTGTTCTACCTGGACAAAAATATTTAATTCAGAAAGATGAATTTCCAACCTTTAAATTAATCAATAACTATGGGGACATTGATAACCAAATATCCAAAATATCAAAGTTACTCAATTTTCAAAATTTTTTGTAATTTTTCCGCAAACATTTTGCAAGGGCCATAACTTTTCAAGTAATTAATGTATCCCAAATAATTTACTTGATTTTGAAAGAAGTAACTCCAATCTCCCACGGCTACAAAACATTTTCAAATATCTCTCCGAATACCAAAGTTATGCAGGAATTTATAAAATAACCTCATTTTTGGAATACCCCATATTTTTCCTATAATCAATTTCAAGACACTATAACTTTACACATAGACGGTGTAATAAAATTATTTTACTTGATTATGAAAGATACGCATCTTGCCCTTCAACTCATGTCAAAATAACTGCATCTAGATAAATAAACATTGGAGATATCGGCAATATACTCAAGTTACCCACATTTTGAAAAATTTGGTCATTTTTCTGCAATCATGTTCGAAAGACCAAAACTTTTTAAATAGTTAATGGATTAGTCTAGGACTTTGCAATTCTGAAAGATATTGTTATTTTCTTCGAGTACTGTAAAATATTTTCTAATATCTAGCCAAATACCAAAGATATCAGGAAATTTATGTCATAGCCTCAATGTCAACATTTTTGACAAATTTTCGGTAATCGTTTTCTAGAGATCCTAACTTTAAAAGTAATTGGTATTTCTAAATGATTTACCGGATTTTGAAAGATAAATATATAGGCTTTCATATTCTAAAGAGATATTTTTATATGACTAACAACATATCTGAGTTATCGCCAAAATACCCTACTTACTTAATTTTTAAATTTCTTAGCATTTTTTAAGTAACCGTTTTCTAAGGGCCATAACTTTTGAAGTAGTCAGTATTTTGGTATGAAAGAACATGAACTTGAAAGAGACCTCTATTTTCTCTGACTACTATAAAAAATTTTACAATATCTATTCAAATTCCTGAGATATTTAGAAATGTATGCCATAACCTCAATTTTGACATTTGTGAATTATTTAAAGTAATCGTGTTCTGGAGACCATAACTTTAAAAGTAATCGGTATTTCCGATTTTTTACCGGATTTTGAAAGGCTATCATCGCAGCTTTCAAATTCCAAAAAGATATTCTTATGTGGCTGAAAAAATACCTGAGTTATCGTCAAAATATTGTAGTTACACAATTTCCTAGACTATTGTGATTATTTAAGTAACCGTTTTTTAAGGACCATAACTTTTGAAGTAGTTGGTATTTCAATTTTAAATTACGTGATTGTGAAAAATATCCCTCCATTCTCTGACTTCTATAAAATATTTTCCAATATCTATTCAAATACCAGAAATATTTTAAAATATATGCCACAACCTAAATTTTGAAATTTTTGACTTGTTTTCAGTAATCGTTTTCTGGGGACCATAACTTTAAAAGTAATCGGTATTTTTAAATGATTTTAGCGGATTTTAAAAGGAAAGTATGTACCCTTTCAGATGCTAGAAAAAAATTCTTATGAGTCTGAAAAAATGTCAGAGTTATCGTCAAAATACTCTAGTTGCACAATTTCCTAAACTATTAGGATTTTTTAAGTAACCGTTTTCTAAAGGTCATAACTTTTAAAGTAGTCAGTATTTTAACATAAAATAAAATTATTTTGAAAGATATTAATTTATTCTACGACTATTATAAAATATTTTGCAATATCTGGTCAAATTCCAGAGATATTTTGAAATGTATGTCATAACCTCAATTTGGAAATGTTTGACTAATTTTCAGTAATCGTTTTCTGGAGACCATAACTTTTGAAGTAATCGGTATTTCTAAATCTTTTTACCGGATTTTCAAAGGCTATTATCGCGACTTTCATATTCCAAAAAGGTATTCTCATATGGCTGACAACATACCCAAGTTATCGGCAAATTACCCAAGTTACTCAATTTTTGAAACTTTTAGTATTTTTTAAGTAACCGTTTTCTAATGGTCATAACTTTCGAAGTAGTCGTTATTTTGGTATGAGGTAGAATTATTTTGAAAGATAATCATATATTCTCTAAAAACTATGAAATATTTGCCAATACCTATTAAAATTCCCGAGATATTTAGAAATTTATGCCATAACCTTTAATTTGAAATTTTTGACTTATTTTAAGTAATCGTTTTCTAGAGACCATAACTTTTGAAGTAATCGGTATATCTGGATGATTTAACATGATACTGAAAGCTAAGCCCTTCTTCTATAAAATTTTGATAAAATAAAATCAAGTGCATAGATAAATATCAGAGTTATAGTTAAAATACAAAAGTTACCAATTTTTTGGCACTTTTCTCTTAATTTCAGTAATTGTTTTCTATGGGTCATAACTTTTGAAGTAATCGGTATATTTTAATAAAATAATTTGTTCCTGTAAGAGGAAAAACTGTTGTTCTAATTTCTACCCTTTTTTGTTATGAGACTTGACAAATGCCCGAGATATCGGTGAAATGAGTGTCTTACCAAATTTGTTGCACTTATACCTTAGTTTTTGTATTCGTTTTCTATGGACGATAACTTGGCAACTAAGTGGCATATTTTTTTGAAAAAGCAAAATTTTTAAAGGAGAATATCTAGACTTTGATTTTGCGTATAGATGTTTTAATTTTAATAACCAAAGTTATTGGAAAAGACATCAAAGTGTCTTAAATACTTTAAAAATCGACCTAGTTTCGGTTATGATTTTCTCGTGACCATAACTTTGAAAATCGGCATGGGTTCTTTAGAAATCAACTCGATTGTGAAAAGTAAGTGTGTTTTCTTTGAACTAATGAATTAAATATATTAATGTGGCCTATAAAGTACCGGAGATTTTGGCAAATTTATCAAGTAACTCAAATTTTTATTTTTTTTTTTTATTTTTGTTTTCGATATTCACTTTCCAAAGCCTGTGATTGCTGGTGGTGACGATATTTTTTTTTTATAAAATTTAGAGAAATTGTGAATTTTTTCTTAATTTTCAAATTAAAAAAATTACAAAAAAAAATTAAAAATCTATTTTTCGAAAAAAAAAATAATTTTTTCCTCTTCCATAACCTCTCAAAATGAAAATAAAACAAATCGAAATTCATTCACACAATTTATTTGGCGTCAACCAAACCAAAAAAAAAATATATTAATAATGATGATGATGGAGATGAGATGACTATGGCCATTATGTCTCGCATGTTTTTCTTTTTTTTTTTTTTTTTTGTTCCCACTTTTTACATGTGAACCGAATTTTTGTGAGATATTTTTAGTTTTTTTTTTTTTTTTTTATTTCATAAAATTTTTTAATGTGCATGGGTGGGAACCGTATTTAAGTTAGCAAAAGATTTTCAAACAAATTGCCTTTTTGATGAACATTTCAAAATTACAACCACTTGTCGTCAATTTTCATTGAGTACTTTTTCATTGAAAACATTTTGTAATTTTCAGCAATTTTTTTCTCTTTGAAAAAATCTGTTTTATTTTATTAATTTTTTCTTTAATTTATTTTTACATTTTCCTTTTGATATCAAGGGCATTAAAAGGGGTCTGCTCTTGCTTTTGAGTATCAAAATCATAATAAACACAGATTTATTTCATTATTTATTTTTGTATTTTCATTTTTTTTTTTTTTTTTTTTTTTTTGTTTCTCTCACTTTATATATAACAAATTTTTTTTGTTGTTTGCTTTTATGATTAGCACCTTCTTCTTTATTTTTTTTTTTTTTTGTGATGATGACCACCAGAAATTTTGAATTTATTTTCACAATTTTTTCCCCGTTCTTCTTAATCACCTGCACCTAATAACACGAGCACACGAAACCGTCACGATCTACTCGTTAGGACGTCGCCGTCCAAACTGAACACAAAACGGCATAGCATTCATTTCGTTTCATTTCCCTCACACAATTCTATTCTCAACTTGTTGTGCCATGAGAGCAACATGCATCCATAGACTACTGTTGCTCACACTCGAAGACAAATTTAACCGAAGAGGGCAACAGGAATTTCCCTCTGCTACTGCATACGAAATATTCTAACCGGCATTTTGTGCAAAGAGCAACATGTGTTGTTGATAAACCGACCAGCAACAGTAAGAACAACAACAATCATACGACACGAGCAACATCGTCATCTATGAATGGGGTGGGTGGTGTGGTGGGTGGGTGGTATGGTGTGTTATAATGCGGCCAATGCAGTTTGTTTACATTTTGCAATAACCCAGAGCGAGAGAGAAAGAGAGTGGATATTATGAGAATTGCATAGTGGGGTTTGGATGGGCCGTTATCTCTCTTCCCCAATTGTGTGTGTGTCTGTCTCTCTCTCTCTCCCAACGTACGTATTGTGTGGGAGTATGGGTTTGTTTACATTTTTTCTGTAGGGAACAGAGAAAAGAAAATTAATTAGGGAAATAAAAGAGAAACGGGGAATAAATTTCAAATTGGAAGGTATTGAAAGGAATTGGGTGGTTTGTTCAAAGAAAATTAAATTGGGTTCTTTTTTAAATAGATTTTTTAAATAATCTTGGGGGTGTCATATTGATAAGTGGAACAATTTTGCACATTGTGGAACAGAGCAGAATTTTTAATAAAATTTTCCAAAAAAAAAATTACAAAGATTCTCTATAAAATTTTGCGGGCCAATGAAATATTTTTCATCAAATGCATGGAGCTTAGATCGTTGTGAAGAATACTATAGATCTTAGAGGCCTAGAGGTCTTTGTAATGATGTCTTTTTTTAATTTTTCTAATTATTTTTAAATTTTTTTTCCAAAAAAATTAATTTTCATTTTAAATTAAAAATTTCCAAAATAAAATTCCGGGGCTTTTAGACTTCTTTGCAATAATTTTTAAATGTTGAGTTATTTTTTGTTTTTTCAGAAAACTTTTCGAACATTTTTCAAAATTTTCAAAAAAAAAAATGCTAAGATTTTTTTTACTGATACTTTTTCTAAGCATCATTTTTGAAAAATTTGGATTTTTTTTGGTAAAAATGTTAAAGTTTTTCAAGTTCTATGTAATATTTTGAAAACAGACGGATATTTTGGAAATTTTTCATATATTTGAATTTTTCAATTTTTTTTAAACATTTTTAATTTTGTGTCCATTTTTATTTATTTATTTTTTTTTTTTTTTTGAAAATTTTCAAAATAATGTTAAAAATTATTTTACTGATATTTTTCAATTTTCTTTTTTAGAAACATGTTAGAAGTTTTTTAAGTTCTATGTAGATTCTGCAAAATATAAGAATATTATTTGAAAATTTTCATATATTTGAGTTTTTCATATTTTTTCCAAAAAATAATTCACACAATTTTTTCAGAAATTTTAAAATTAATATTTTTCCAAAATTTCTGACTATCAGTTATAGATTTTTGAAAATTTTAAAAAATATTAAAAATTTTTAGAACATGTTTAATATTTCACAAAATTTTTAAATTTATCTAATATTTTATCAAATTTGGGATTTTATTTCAAAAAAGAGGCCATGTAGATTTTTATTTAGAATATTTATATATATTTTTTTTTTGTTATTTATTTTTTTTTTTTCAAAAATTGTGTTCCAAAAAAATGTATTTTATTATTTTTTTTTTCTTTTTATTTTATAATAAATTCCCCTTGACCCTGTCCCTATGAAAGTTCCAAATGGCTTTTGCAACGCAACCGGAAACGGAAATTGCCAGCCATTGAGTAAGGAAAACAACCAAATCAGGGTTATGAAGAAAACAGTAAAGGAAACGGTTAAAGGAAGAATTTATGGTTTCCTGAATGGCAATTGCCATCATTGCGTACCCGTTATTTTGTTTAGTTAAGAGAAAATATTACAACGGCTCTATTGAAGAGACGAAAACTCTTTAAAGAGTCGGGAGAGAGAGAGAGAGGCAAACACACAGTTGTAAAAAAACCCAGCAACATGTTTATAACGGCCTTATTGGCGAGTTCTATGTGAAAATATAAACAGAGAGTAGAATAGCGGCAAAGAGAGTTCTCATGGTTTTGTTTTGTTTGAGTGGGTGTAATGGGGAGATGTGGAGCTCTCTTGAAACACATTCAAAAACTACGTGTTGATTTGTTTTGTAAACATAACGGCGGATAAATGCCGGTAAGATTTCAAACTAAATTGATTTAATAAAACATTTGTTTGGTGGGTTCTCTTCGGTGTATTTTATGGAGATTTTTTAACATCGTACCCATTGGCGTATGAGTCATAAAAAAGAAATTGTAATTTATGTTACTGATGCGACACATTTTGAAACATTTTTTCCGTCATAAATTTACATTTGATAATTTTTTTTTTCAATTATTCGCAAGACCTCCCATTTTTTTATTTTAGCTAAAAATTTGATGTGCATATCAAAATTGGTCAGTTAATATTTTTTAAGTTTTTTCGAAATTAAGATGAAATTTTCCAGAAGACGTCACATCAGAGCATTGGAGAAAATATTCTCCACTGAATTTCACTCAAAGTCTCTAAACCAAAGGAATATCTAAAAGTGACGCGTATTTCAAAAAATACGTAATGATTTCTCTATAACAAATAACATCATTTTTTGACCTTTTCCTTAGTTGGTCCCAAATCTCCCAAAAATACTAATTTTATCGGTTCGCTATCAAAGAAGAAATTATTCTCCATCAAATTTAACTAGAGGAAGTCAAACAAACAAAATCTCTAAATGCAATATTTATATCGAAAAATTATAAATAAAAATTTGCCTATAAAAAATATATCACTTTTTTGCCCTTTTCCGCAATTTGTACCAAATCTCCCAAAAATACTCATTTTATTGGTTGCTGTCAAAGAAGAAATTATTCCCCATCAAATTTTGCTAAAGGTTGACAAACAAATGAAATCTCTACATGTAATATTTATATCGAAAAATTATAAATAAAAATTTGGCTATAAAAAATATATCATTTTTTGCCCTTTTCCGCAATTTGTACCACATCTCCAAAAAAATATTCAATTTATCGCATCACTGTCAAAGAAGAAAATATTCTCCATCAAATTTCGCTAAATGTTGTCACTCAAACGAAATCTCTACGAGCGTTTTTTACGCCAATAAATAACCCATTACAATTTTAGTATGGAAGCAAGAATCCTAACATTTATTTATTTTTTTTAACTCCCAAAAAAACCATGAATTGTTATTTTATTGAAAATGCGTCAATGGAAAATATATTTTCCATTGAATTTTATCATATGTCTCCGAACAAAGTAAAGTCCTAAATGCCATGTTTCTCCAAGTAAATCATGTATCAAAATTTGACTTAAAACGGAATTCTTCCATTTTAGTTTTTGGACCTTTTTGGGGATTCTTTCCAAATCTCTTCATATTAGATGAACACATTCCATGGAAAACATATTCTCCATGGTATTTCACAACAAGCCTATGAAGAAACAAAACATCTAGACTCATAATTTATGCCAATAAATCATCAAAACATTTTTTGGGTATTTAAATCAGATTTAGCTTTTTTGGGGCTTTTTCAAATTTCGCAAATATTTTTGGGAAAACATCATTTTAGTAGCTTATTGCCAAAGGAACAAATATTCCTTATCGAATTTCACACCTAGTCTCTGAAAAAAGTAAATCTCTAGCTGCGATTTTTATACCGGTAAATTGTTAATTTAAATTGGGTTATAAAAAAAAATTTCTTATGCATTTTATTTTTTGGGACTTTTTCAAGATTCGCTAATATTTTCCGGAAAACATCATTTTAGGCGTTTGTTGCCAATGGAACAAATATTCCTTATCGAATTTCACACCTAGTCTCTGAACAAAGTAAATCTCCAGCTTCGATTATTATACTAGTAAATTATTAATTTAAATTTGGCGAAAAATCAAAATTTCTCATTAATTTGGTTTTTTGGGTCTTTTTTAAATTTCGCTAATATTTTTGGGAAAACGTAATTTTAGTCCTTTGGTGCCAATGAAACAAATATTCCTCATCGAATTTTACCCCTAGTCTCTAAACAAATTGTATCTGTAGATGCAATTCTTATACCATTAAATAGTGATTTTAAGTTTGTTAACTTAAATGGCATTTATTAAAAATATTGTTTTTTTGGGTCTTTTTCAAATTTCGCTAATATTTTGGGGAAGATGTCATTTTAGGACGTTGGTGCCAATGAAACAAATATTCCCCATCGAATTTCACTCTTAGTCTCCAAACAAATTGTATCTGTAGACGCAATTATTATACCATTAAATTGAGAATTTAAATTTGGTAACTCAAATGACATTTCTTAAAAATATTATTTTTTGGGACTTTTTCAAATTTGGCTAATATTTTGGGGAAAACGCCATTTTTAGACTTTGTTACCAATGAAACAAATATTGCTCATCGAATTTCACCCTTAGTCTCCAAACAAATGGTATCTGTAGATGCAATTCTTATAACATTAAATAATGATTTCAAATTTGGTAACTTAAATGACATTTCTTAAAAATATTATTTTTTGGGACTTTTTCAAATTTGGCTAATATTTTGGGGAAAACGCCATTTTTAGACTTTGTTACAAATGAAACAAATATTCCTCATCGAATTTCACCCTTAGTCTCCAAACAAATGGTATCTGTAGATGCAATTCTTATAACATTAAATAATGATTTCAAATTTGGTAACTTAAATGACATTTCTTAAAAATATTATTTTTTGGATCTTTTTTAAATTTCGTTAATATTTTGGGGAAAACGTAATTTTTGGAGTTTGTTGCCAATGAAACAAAGATTCCTCATCGAATTTCATTATAAGTCTCTGAATAAAGTAAATCTCTAGCTGCGATTTTTATACCGGTAAAATATTAATTGAAATTTGCTGAAAAAATAAAAATTTCTTATGATTTTTAGTTTTTGGGTCTTTTTCAAATTTCACAAATATTTTTGGGAAAACATCATTTTAGTAGTTTATTGCCAAAGGAACAAATATTCCTTATCAAATTTCACCCTCAGTCTCTGAACAAAGTAAATCTCTAGCTGCGATTTTTATACCAGTAAATTATTAATTTAAATTTGCTGAAAAAATAAAAAATTCTTATAAATTTTAGTTTTTGGGTCTTTTTCAAATTTCGCAAATATTTTTGGGAAAACATAATTTTAGTAGTTTATTGCCAAAAGAACAAATATTCCTTATCAAATTTCACCCTTAGTCTCTGAACAAAGTAAATCTCTAGCTTCAATTTTTTTACCGGTAAATTGTTAATTTAAATTGGGTTATAAATCAAAATTTCTTATGATTTTTAGTTTTTGGATCTTTTTCAAAATTCGCTAATATTTTGGGGAAAACGTCATTTTAGGAGTTGGTGGCCAATGAAACAAAGATTCCTTATCAAATTTCACTACAAGTCTCTGAACAAAGCAAATCTCTAGCTTCGATTTTTATACCAGTAACATATGAATTTAAAAATAAAACACATTCGCATTTAATTATGTTACATACAATAAGTGGGAAATTTTATTGCTGTGAATTTTTCCAAATTTTTATCATAAATACATGTATATATGGCGGCATATCAATGAAGAACCTGTGAATTTAATGAATTACATGGAAATGGATGGGGTTTGAGGTTACAATTTTACACAATCTTTTTTCTGTTAATTTTAAATTATTTTTGATTTGTATGAAAAATACAATGGGTTTCCTTTCATTCAATGCAACAGATCTATTTGTATTGGAAGTGTTATTTATTTGCTGTGAAAACAAATAGAAACCAATTCTACAGACAATTTCCATTTAATTTTAAATGTTGTTTTGCTTCATTGATTGATTATTTATTACCCTTACAAAAGGCATTCATTTTTTTATATTTTTATCAAAAATACTTTTTTTTATATATATATGTGGGGTTCTTTAATACTTCACATCTTTGTGTTGATTTGTTTCTGCGGGCTAGAGCAGAGGACTATAAAAAAATAATTTTCCATTTTTTTTTTTCAAAATTTTCAATTTTTATTTGTTTTTTTTTTCGCTCAGTTTTTAACATACATTTTGAGGTTAGGAAAAAAATTATTAAAAAAAAGTATATATTTTATATATTTATATAAAAAAAAATAAAGCAATAAAGAAAAACAGAAAAGGCGAGATAAAGAATTCACAAAATACATAATAAGATTACTGGCACAAAAGCAAGAATTTGGATCAAAATACAAAATTAATTTCAAACAGAAATCATACAATTTTTTTTTCTTTTTTTTTTTTTTTTGGTTAAGGATGCCGAAGAGGCAGGGAGCAGGGGCTATTACACATTATCTTCAGAATAAAAGAATAAGAAGAAATACTAGGAATATTATTATTTTCAAGAAAATAACATAGTTTTGAAAACCTGTATCCACCTTTGTTTTTGTTTTGTTTTGTTTTGTTTTGTTTTTTTTTATGGGAATTAACACAACAACCTTTGCAGTTTTATCTCCCCTCTCTCTCTACAGCAGTTGGTTTGTTTTTTTTTTTTATAGCACACAAATTACAAAATCATTATTAAATTATTTTATTCTTATAAATGCAACATAAAATAGTTATTTAAAATACTATTTTAAACAAACAAATTGTTTTAGAATTTTTTACTTTTCAGAAAAAAATACAAAGAAAAATACTTTTGCTTTTAGGAAATACAACAAATAATACAAAATAGCATGATGGCATTTACATGACTTGGTGTTTGAGTTTTACATAAACAAAAAACTAGCTAATTTTTCCCAAGGGATATTTTTTGTTAGGTTATGTTTTGGTTTTCTTATAAAATGTAAGGGGGGATTTTTGAAAAATCTTCTTTTAGAATATATTTCTTTTTAATATTTTTTTGGTACTTTATTATCATCTTAATGGGTTTTACAGAAAAATTCTTATTTTTGAATACTTTTGTTTGGATTTGATAACATAACCTTTCTTTTTTTTGTAAAATTTTTAATGCAGCCTATATTGTTATTGTTGTTGTTGCTTGAGTTTATGTTGCTTTTCTTTATACACTAATGCACGCACGTACATACACACACATATACATGCTCTATCTGTTGCGCCAGACAGCAGACAGACCATCTCCATCCATTCGCGACACACCTCCTCCTCCTTCTCCTCGTTTATTCCCAATCCTTTTTTATTTCAAATGTCCAATCCCATTTCAAATGCTGATGTTTATCATCATCGGTGAAGAGGGATGCAACCGAATAAGTACCACGAGCCATCATGCCAGAGGGTGCCTCCTCAGGTGGTGTAATATAACATTGGATTTCCTTTTTGGGTGGATATGAGCCAACCATATGGGTCATTTTATCAACTACATCAGACAGGGGAGAAAAATGCAAATAAATTAATATTATTAAACAAAATTAAAAACATAAAATATATTTATATAGAAATTAAAAACAAAATATCAGCAAATGTTCCATGGCAATGGGTTTCTAGAGAAAAATAGGAATAAAAATATTTTTTTATAAATAAATAATTTAATATTGATATTTTCAAGGAAATCTTAAATAAATATAGAGTTCGGATGTATGGCAACCCCTGGTGGAATTTTGTGGGGAATATTTTTTCCATCGAAAGCATAAGGCTAAAATGAGGTCTTTCCCAAAAATTTGGCATGATTCCGAAAACACCCAAAAAAGAGTTTTTTTTTTTGTTAAATTTACAAAATTGCAATGGAGTTTTTATTGCTATAAATACTCAATTTTGAAAGTAATTTTGTTTGAGTACCCCATGTGAAATTTAATGGGAAATATATTTTCCTTTAACACCATCTCCGTAAAAGAAAGCAATGTGGGAGATTTTGGGCAAAATTCAAAAAACCTACTTAATTTAACCAAAAGTAAGCATTTTTTCTAAATGTCTATTTTCTTATTAAAATTTTACCGATATCTATTAGATTTATACAATTCCATTGGTCGGTTACTCCCAGTGGAATTTTGTGGAGAACATTTTTTCCATTGACACCATAAGGCTAAGATGAAGCATTACTTAAAATTTGAAGAAATTCAAAAAAGTCCTAAAAATTACACGAAAACTTTTTTTGGTTAAATTTACAAAATTGAAATGGCGTTGGTATTGATATAAATACTGGATTTTGAAAGTAATTTTGTTTGAGCACCCCATGTGAAATTTAATGGGGAACATATTCTCTTTTAACACCAACTCCGTAAAAGAAAGCAATGTGGGAGATTTGGGCGAAATTCAAAAATACCTACTTAATTCAACCAAAAGTAAGCTTTTTTTCAAAATATCTATTTTCTTATGGATATTTTACAGTTATCGTTTAGGTTTGCACATTTCCATCGGTCGGTTACCCCCAGTGTAATTTTGTGGAGAATAATTTTTCCATTGACACCATAACGCTAAAATGAAAAACTCACCGATTTTTGGTTAATACTCAGAAAAGATCCAAAAACTACTTATATTTTTTAGTTAGGTTATATTTTTTCCGAATTAAAGAACTTTTAGAAGAACTTCTGTTCGAAGACCCCTCCTGAAATGTTGTGAAAAAAATTTCCTTCTTTACCACCAAACCCCTTAAATAATGGTATATGGGGATTTGGTCAAAAATCAAAGAAATTCCAAAATTTAATTTTTTTTTTTGATATTTTTCTTAAGAAACCCTCATCCACAATTGCCATGGAACACTTTCATTTACATATCGGAATTTTCTTAATAACCAAAAATATCTTACCAACTAAATCTTTAGTATTTGTTATTGTTTTGATGTTGGATTAGTTGATTAAAGGCACATTTATTTAAAGAAGAAAAAAAAAAAGAGACGAAAACGAAACGTTGCAGACACACAAAACAACATTTACAGATTTGTTGGTTGGATCAGAAAAAAAACCATGTGGTTAAGGCGTAGAAAAAGACATTTGTTATATGTATTTTTTTTTTAATCCAAGACAAAAGACACGTAAGAGAAAAACACAAATGTGGTTAAAGAAGCACAAATTGTAATAAATTAATAAATATTTACAAAATTATTTATAAATCTCGTTCTCAACATATTACTAAGACCGTTATGAATAATGCAATTATAATTATATAGGTAACACCAAAAATTCCACAAAATATATTGGCAATATTGGAATTGGAGAACATGGTTTAGTAGGTAGCTCGGGGTGTGTGTTTGTGTAGTGCTTACGATGGCAGTGTAGGATAGACTAAAGGTATGTATTCAAAATGCCTAAAGCGAAAGCATTGGGAATTGTGAAATTCAATTACAAATGCAAAATGAATAGCGTTACGGAAATTGTGTTTAGTGGGATTTTTTTTTTTTGTTGATGGTGACAAGGTGAGGTGAAGCCCTACAAAGTTTCGAAATGGTTTGCAATTGAAGGTCGTTGTTTTTTTTTTTTTTTTTTTTTTTTTTTTTTTTTTTGTCTCTTCACAATATTGCACAAAACTTACCAGGGACACCTAAACGATAAGTCTTTTGTACATATTTAAGGCCATGCACAATTTCTCTTTGAACAATGAAATCAATGCGCACTCGATATTGGACACCTTCTTTGATAACAAAAACCTGAAATGATGGAAACCCATGAATGTTTAAAAGTCCACATATTTTGGGAGGGAATTCATTTTTTTTCCATACTTGTTTCTTTAGCTGAGTTAAATCGCCCGTCAAATCTAATTCCATATCGGGGCGACCTTCTGAGACCAAGGCTAGCTTTTTCACCAAAACTTTGCGTTCATCGTTGGGATCTGGAAAGAGAGGGAAAGACATTATTTTATTAAAAAATTTAAATGGGATGGGTTGTAGGAGTAAGCATTTATTTATGACGTCCGCATATAAACCTAACATGAGGGATTTTTTAGGCAGCTTTAAAAGGTGCTCCTGACAACTGGGATTTGAAAACAATTCTAAGGGAAATCGAGAACCCCTCGTCAACGTGAAATATTCTTCTCGGACTTAGGAAGTCCTAACAACGTGGATTTTAAAAAAATTAACAAGTAAAAAAAGCTGTAACTTCGGCCGGGCCGAATATTGAATACACTTCAACATTTGGAACAGATTTGGCAATTTTCAAAAAAAATAAAATCTGTTAAAAATTCTGTTAAAATCTTAAAAATACCAAATGTAGCCGTCATATTAGGGTTTAAACGACGACGTGGAACTGCATCTTCAAAATACCGAATATGGGGAGGTACTCTTATATGGGGGCTATACGAAGACGTGGACCTGCACAGACAATTTTTTGTCTTAGGCTGTGGTATCCATTTCGAACTTCAAATACCAAATTTGAAATAATTCCGATGAATAATGTCGCTAAAATCATCAAAATACCGAATATCGGGAGGTAACGTTTCAGGGGGGGCTATAAGAAGACGTGGACCTGAACAGACAATTTTTTGTCTTAGGCTGCAGTGTCTATTACGAACTTTAAATGCCAAATTTGAAACATTTCGGGTGAATAATGTCGCTAAAATCATCAAAATACCAAATATCGGTAGGTACCGTAATATGGGGGTTCTACGAAGACGTGGACCAGCACAGACAATTTTCTGTCTTAGGCTGCAGTATCCATTACGAACTTCAAATACCAAATTTGAAACATTTCGGGTGAAGAATGTCCCTAATATCATCAAAATACCGAATATCGAGAGGTACGGTTATATGGGGGTTATACGAAGACGTGGACCTGCACAGACAATTTTCTGTCAAAGGCTGTGGTTTTCATTACGATCTTCAAATACCAAATTTGAAACAATTCGGGTGAATAATGTCGCTAATATCATCAAAATACCGAATATCCAGAGGTACCGCTATATGGGGACTATACGAAGACGTGGACCTGCACAGACAATTTTCTGTCAAAGGCTGTGGTTTTCATTACGATCTTCAAATACCAAATTTGAAACAATTCGGGTGAATAATGTCGCTAATATCATCAAAATACCGAATATCCAGAGGTACCGCTATATGGGGACTATACGAAGACGTGGACCTGCACAGACAATTTTTTGTCATAGACTGTAGTATTTATTACGAACTTCAAATACCAAATTTTAAACAATTCCGGTGAATAATGTCGCTAATATCATTAAAATACCGAATATCGAGAGGTACGGTTATATGGGGGCTATGCGAAGACGTGGACCTGCACAGACAATTTTCTGTCTTAGGCTGTGGTTTTCATTACGAACTTCAAATACCAAATTTGAGACAATTCGGATGAATAATGTCGCTAAAATCATCAACATTTTCGGAATTCTAGGAGGCTATTTTGGGCTCCATGCCCAAATTTTCCTTTTGGATTTTGGTCCACAAAACGTTGAGTTTTTTGCAGGATGTTAGTCAAAAGGAAAAATAGCATTCCTATGGATTTCCTGGATCTTCAACGACTTAAAGGAGGCATTGACTTCAGTAAACTCCAGGATATTTTAAGGAACTCTACAAGGCTTTTGAAGCAAAAAAAATGTTTTGAAGATTTTTGGGAATTCTAGGAGGCTTTTTTGAGCTCCATGCCTTTATTTTCTTTCTGGGTTTGGGCCCACAAAACGTTGAGTCTTCGCAGAATGCTATGCCGAAGAAAAATTAGCACTTCTATAAGAAGCCTCCAGAAGCTCAGCAGCGAAGCACTAAAATCCTAGATCTTCAAGAGAAGCCATTGACCTGAGCAAATTCCAGAATATTTTAAGAAACTCTCAGCTTAGCAGGGAGGAACTAAAATCCTGGATTTTCAACGATTTAACGACCTTAGCACTTCCCAGGATATTTTAAGGAACTCTACAAGGCTTTTGAAGCAAAAAAATGTTTGAAAGACTTTTCGAAATTCTAGGAGGCTTTTTTGAGCTCCATGCCTTTATTTTCTTTCTGGGTTTGGGCCCACAAATCGTTGAGTCTTTACAGAAAACTAAGACTAAATTAAAGGAGATATTGACCTCAGAAAATTCAAGAATATTTTAAGGAACTCTACAAGGCTTTTTAAGCAATAAATATTTTGCAGACTTTTCGAAATTCTAGGAGGCTTTTTTGGGCTCCATGCCTTGGTTTTCTTTCCGGGTTTTGGCCCACAAAACCTTGAACCTTTGCAGATTTGAAGAAAAATTAGCATTTCTATAAGAAGCCCCCAGAAGCTCAGCATGGGAGGCAGTAAATTCCTCGATCTTCAACGAATTAAAGGAGGACCCTCTACAAGGCTTTTAGAAACAATAAATGTTTTGAAGACTATTGGGAGCTCTAGGAGGCTTTTTGGGCTCCATGCCTTTATGTTCGTTGTGGATTTTGCCCTGAGACAAAATGGGGGCATTGACCTGAATAAATGCCAGGATATTTTAACGACCTCTACGAGACTTTTTAAGGCAATAAATATGCTGAAGTTTCAAGGAAGCTATTCTCAGGCTCAAATCTCGCATTTTCTTTTTGGATAATTGCATTTCCATTACGAAACGAAACAATCTCTACGTCTCTTTTGAGAGAAACAAAGGACTTGGATTTGTTAAAGGAGGGGTTCTGTAACCATTACTCTGGCTTTTGGTGATAAATGAAATTCTGGAACTTGGCGGGACAAAGGTCGTGGCTTACGCCGATGATGTGGTCTTGCTGATTGCTGGGAAATTCCCGCAAACTGTTTCAGATCTTATGCAGGGAGCTCTAGTTAAACTCTCCAGATGGGCACGCTGTAATGGACTTGGCGTTAACCGGAAAATCCCAGACTTTTCGCTACCAATACTTGATGGTGTTATACTAAGCCTTTCTTCGGAAGCCAAATATATCAGTACCATCCTAGACCAGAAACTAAGCTGAAAGAGGAACATCGAGGAGCGAGCGACGGAAGGCTTAAATGCACTTGATTCCTGCAAAAACTCCATAGGACAAAGCTATAGAATTTGGCCGTTGAACTCTGAAAGGAGATGAAGGTTACTCCGAGTGGAGTGCTTGTTTATACAACTGCGAATCCTTTAACCTAGCCTAACCTAAGGAATAGTAGGAGGCTTTCAGCGCTGAAGGCGTGTTAGATTTTCATGCTGATATTACAACTCTTTCAAAGAGCAGGCTTTTCATTCTGCAATAAAATTGTTTAATAATTTGAATTATTTGATAATTATTATACCTACCCCCCCCCCCCCTCTCTCTCTCCCAACTTACCCACAATAATTTTCTCCGCCTGGGCCTCACCCAGCAATTGTTCTTTGTAACGTCTCAGACTTTCATCTTCCTGATCGGCAGCCATAATTTCTTCAATGGTTTTTTCTGGCGGTGGTTGATAGTTGGAATCATGGACATCTTCGTCATGATGGACATCAACTTCATTGGTGGCTTCGGCTGATGACATTGTGATGTTGTGTTTGTTGGGTTGTAGTAATTGCGAAGACTTAGATTAGTTAGCAAGTGTTGGAGTAGTTGGGGAGACTCTGGTGATGGTGGTAAATTAAGATATAAGAAGCAGCTAAAAATAGAAGAAGAGGAAAAAAGGTTAATAAATTGGAAATTTCATGAAAAAAATTCCAAAATCCTGAAATTTCTTAATTTTGTACGCTTTCGTTGTGTTTCCTCAAATAAAACAGAAAACAAAATATGTTCCATGTTTTTCATGCCATAATTGCCTGGTTATCACACTTGCTTCTCTGATTTCCATGTCTTGCGCCTTTATTTCTACACTGTTGTGTGGTTGGTATTGGTGGTAGGCGATGGTAGGTTATTAATAACATTTACACCCATTGAAATTGTGACACACACACACACACAGACACGCCAGTGATTCGTTATCGATTATATTCACATTTAACATTATAACGGGCAGCACATCAAACCTTGCCCGCACCCCACCCTACCCCACCCACCACAACTTGTCACAGCATGGGTGACTATATTTACCTACTTCTGTGAATACCATACTCAATGGCTTAGTTTGTTATGATTATATTCATCATATCTTGGTTTCGCACACATACACACACACACACACACAAATTTATACTCCTTTTTAATGTCAATTGGCTGGGTATATAAGAAGAAATTTAAAGGGATCCATAGGAAGTGATCGAAATACATGATATATTCTCATGATACATATGAGACATTCTTAAATAAAAGTCACATCCTTGAAACTAATAAATTCCACTTTGGAATTTCCCGAAAACTTTCCTTTTCTTGTTTCAGGGGGCAAACAAGTCTATGTGAAGTAAAAAACAACAGCTGCAAGCCGTTGTTACACACAAAGAGACAGACAGAGAGAGAGAGAGGGGCAAAGCCAAACAATTGTAATTTTGGTGTCAAAAATTTTATGACCATCTGTGGTGAGAGAGAGAGAGAGAGGGAGGAGTAAAAGTTTTCTCTGATCACCCAACTTTCACGCTCTCACTCTCTCCTTCTTCCTTCCTTTTTATCGACATGACATTACAATGAGCCGTTTTAACACAAACTTCACACAAAGGGAGAGGGCAAGCTAAACAAATGTAATTTTGGCGCCAAAAAATGTATATGACCATGTAAAGGGGAGTCAAAGGGAGGAATCAAGGTTTGTTTTTTGTGATTACCCCTTTCGCGCTTGCTTAAAATAAGGTATTTTAGTATTGTGGCCAAAAAAAAAAAAATTGGCAATTATATTTTTTGTTATTACTTCTCTCTTACATTTACCCCCCAAAAAACGGGCAAAGAAAATAATAAAAATAAAAACAAAACTTGAACATGACAATAACCTTAGCCGTTATTACATTTTTATTTTTCAAAGTTGCATGTGCCGTTACTACACGGCGAAAAAACAGATGGAACATCCTTTTGGCAACAAAATGCAAATAACTCCCCTGTGTGAAATTTGTATTATCAACTAAATATTCTATATCTTAAAAAAATATTCTATATCTTAAAAAAAACAGTGTTGCCACCTCATGTGTAATTACGCCTATTTGCTCTGTCCCAGAAATGCAAAAATGTAAAAAAAGATACTACGTTAACCGTTCTGTTTCCTTATAATATCGAAATAAAATTTTCCAAAACTTGTAGATTCTTGCAGGTTTTGGAACGGAGCAATTTTGTGGGTATTTTTATACCCTCAGTTACATGGCTGGAGAGGGTATACGGGATGAAATAGAAAACTGCAACAAAGTCAAACGCCATAATTTTTATTTTATTTTTTTTTTTTTAATGTTATCGAATGAAAGCAAAAAATGTCGGAAATAGCATCAAATTTTAGAATTTGCTTAGATTTGTTCGAATAGGTCAACTTTGGCACGAATTATGGCCTTCAAACGGCCACTGAAACCGTCACACGCTGCCCGAATGTTGCTCTGCGGTATTTTGGCCTATTCCCGGGCGCAGCGCTTGCTTTAGGTGATCGACACTTTGGTGGTACACTTTTAGTGCCAACATTGCTTTCCAAAATACCGCAGACACAATAGTCCAACGGTATGGTATCCGCAGAATTCTCACCAAAAAGGCATTTGTACGCTTGCAAACAATAAAATGAGCTGTCACTGGAGTAATTTTAACAGCTGTCGGACGAGTGGCTTAAGAAATGACAGCAGTTAGTCTGAAGTTGGTTGGAGCTCTTTCATCTCACCCTGTGTTTCTATTATATCACATAAAAACCCCAGATGAAGTGTACAAGTTTTTTTTTTTTTTTTTTTTGCTAGAAATGGTAAAAACCACAACTTATTGTGAAATCAAATCAATGTGCTTATTTTTTATATTCTTGTTACACGCCAACAACAAACCAACAACAGCTAGAATTGAGAAACAAAATTGTCATTTACACATGTCTATGAACCTACATTACTATATATAGATCGATGGCTAGCAGCGAATCTATCAATTTCCAACTCTGCCTAGACGTTTAAAATTTATTATAAATACCTGGGGTTTTTTTATATCATATATAAAATTTAACTGGTTTTGTTTTGCTTTGGCTTTTTGCAATATTTTTTTATTATCAATTTGATGGTTGTTTGTTACGGCATTTTGTTTTTTTTTTTTTACTTTTCGAAATTGTTTGAGAAACGTAAAAAGTATCAACAATAATTGAAATTATAAATGAAAAAAAAAAAAAAAAAAAAAAAAACAAAGTAAAACAATCTGCCACACACACTTATATATATTTTTCCAAAGATACGATAAGAAAAGGCAAGAAAAACAACAATTGTTTGATTGTAGCGCCTCATTGCTAATGCGCTTGATAAAAATGAAAAGAATTTGAATAACAATTATAGCGACTTGACTCGGCTGACTGGCTGGCTACAGGGATGGGGTGGGATGGTGGTTTCTCAAGTACACCGCCTGCCTGCCTAACTGCTGACTGGCATTTAAAAGTAGTAGTAAATCTAATTATGATCAATTAGCGAGATTTTATTAGCAAGATGCTGAGAAAAAAAGAAATGGACGACAGGGTAGATAGGGTAGATAGGTGGTACCTACGTATTGGATTTGTTGAAATAGTTCAAATATTAACATAACCTTCAATTGAAGATCTTCCATTGTCTTGTCTAATTTAATTAAATAACTTTAATTTAACTTTTTCAAATAGGAGAAGCTTTTTTGGCGCCAAAAGTGTAATGACTTATGTTTACAACCTGACATGTTTTTTTTTTTTTAAGAACGCCGGTATTTTGATTGTCATTATTTCCTTTGATTATATGTCTGGTGGCTATGGTGTAATGACGTTGTGTAATAACGCCTCACAGTCTGTGCTAACTGCGTTTACACCAGTGTTTCTCCAAAAACTATCGATCATATATTATGGTGAGAGATAACGGCAGATGAGATTAAAGAGAGAGAGAGAGAGAATACGTTTAGAATTTTCTTTCAGTGTTGCCACCAGGCAAACTATATTTTACACAGGGAGGATAAAAAGAAGTTATAACTTGTATTTAATTTTTTCAAAAAGGGGAAGCCTTTTTGGCGCCAAAACTGTAACGGCTTATGTTTAACACCTGACATGTTTTTTTTTTTAAGAACGCCGTTATTTTGATTGTCATTATTTCCTTTGATTATATGTCTGGTGGCGTTGGTGTAAAGACGTTGTGTAATAACGCCTTATAGTCTGTGCTAACTGCGTTTACACCAGTGTTTCTCCAAAAACTATCGATCATATATTATGGTGAGATGTAACGACAGATGATATTTAAGAGAGAGAGAGGGAATACGTTTATACTTTGTTTCAGTGTTGTCACCAGGCAAACTATATTTTAAACACAGAGGATACAAATAAATTGGAGAAAAATTACACAATTATCGTGCCAATTATCGTCCATTTCGTATCGGGCCTAAATAAATATGGCATAAATATTGCGACGTGTCATTTTTGGACTTCACTTTACATGAGATATGTGATCATGGTAAAATTTGCGTAATATTTCTGGTACGTGGTCAACCGAATTATTCCATGTTTTATACTTCATTCATATACTATACTTCAAATTACAAGAAAATCGAACATTTTTACCCAATTTTATGAGAAATTATAAATTCTAATAAATTCCAATTCCATCTCAGGTTTCGGGTTGAGAGAAATATTTCGATCTGGCAAGTGGGCCAAAATACCGCAGAGCAAAATTCGGGCAGCGTTTTTTTTTTCTAAAATTTGATGCTATTTCCGACAGTTTTAGCTTCCTTTCATTGGAATTAAAAAAAAAAAAAATAAATTTAAAAATTATGACGTTTGACTTTGTTGCAGTTTTTTTTTTCATCTCACCCTGTATATCATCATCACAACAGATCGCGTGTTAGCAAAAAAAAAAGTATGTATTTGTGATATTTGAGGAGAGTTTGATGCTTGTTTCGCTTTCTTGGAGCGTTTTGTTCTTCCAAGAAGAGGTACCAGAAGAAATGGTCCGATCTTTACCGTCTTTATAACAGGTCTTGTGTTGATGGAAATATTGAGATGTGCCAAGTCTGAATGGAATCGGGTATTCATTTCGTGTTTTAGGAGCTCCATGGATATTCAAAATTTTGACCCTTTGTAGGGGAGGTACTAGAAGGAGAGGACCGATGTGTCTCATCTTCACAACAGACCTAGGGTTAATAAAAATATTGTGATGTGTGTAATTTGAAAACAATCGGACACTTACATCACATTTTATAAGAGTTATAATTATTCAAAATTTTGACCCTTTGTGTGGGAGGTACCAGAAGAAATGGTCCGATCTTTACCGTCTTTATAACGGATCTTGTGTTGATGGAAATATTGAGATGTGCAAAGTCTGAATGGAATCGGGTGTTCATTTCGTGTTTTAGGAGCTCCATGAATATTCAAAATTTTGACCCTTTGTGGGGAAGGTACCAGAAGGGGTGGGCCGATATATTCCATCTTCACAGCAGATCTTGTGATAGTAGAAATAATGGGATGTGTGAAATATGAAGAGAATCGGATGGTTATTTCGGATTTTATGATCGTTTTTGTTATTCGAAACTTTGAGCCTTTGTGAGGAATGTACCAGAAGGAATGCTCCGATCTCTACCATTTTAATAACAGATCTTGTGTTGCTGGAAATATAGAGATGTGCCAAGTCTGAATGGAATCGGGTGTTTATTTCGCGTTTTATGAGCTGTATGGTTATTCAATATTTTCACCCTTTGGGGGGGAGGTACCAGAAGAAGTGGACCGATGTGTCTCATCTTAACACCAGACTTAGAGTTAATAAAAATGTTGTGATGTGTGTAATTTGAAAGCAATCGGACACTTACATCACATTTTATAAGAGTTGTATTTATTTAAAATTTTAACCCTTTGTGTGGGAGGTACTTGATGGAGTGAAGCGATATTGTCCATTTTCGCACCTGACCTAGAACTGATGTAAATATTAAGATTTGCAAAGTTGGAGAAAAATCGAATTATCCTTTCTCCTTCTGTGCAGTAAATTATTTTCTTTGAAAATGTTGACATTTTGTGTGGGAGGTACTAGAAGGAGTGGACCGATATTGTCCATATCGGAACTCGATTTAAGTTTGACTAAAATATTACGATGTACCAAGTTTGGACGAAATCGAATACTCCCTTCGAGAGTTATCGTGCGGAAGGACGGACATCGCTAGTTCGATTCCAAATGTCCTGAAACGGATTTGGTCCAAAGAGACCTAGAATCTAAAACCGTTTTTTCGCTAAGGTTCGTTTTGCCCGTATCAAATGATATATACAACCTCTGTAGCCATATGACTGAGGGTATAAAGATGACCATTTCCAGAAAACAACATTGACAAAAATATGTTCTTCACCTAACCACCCTGCTGCACCAAAACAACGCTGAATTCATATTTCATAATTCATAATTTTCATAATTTTATTATTATGTATAATTCAGAAATTTTTGTATAGAGATTAACTAAAAGGTTATTATACGCCACTAGTATAGACCAATATATAAGTTGGGGAATGAGAAAGTCGAGTCGAGGGAAAGGTAAGGGACCATAGACACACATTTTTAAATATTTGATTTTTCACTTAATGTATCTGGTTTTGTTTATTGGAGCTGCTTCTTTTGGGATCTGGTCTGATCTGGTCTGCCATGCCATTTTCCTTATTCATTCATTTGAAGCAATGAATTGATGGTAGCATCCTTATTTCCACGATTCGCTTCGAACACTGTCTTAACAACTTCGGTATCAATGTTGGGAAACATTTCCTGAATTTGTTTCAATTCTTCGGCACTTAATTGGGGTGGAGGTTGGGGTACTGCTGCTACTCCAGTTGGCGGCACTGCTACACCACCACCTTGTACAACTACCGTCTGCTGCTGCTGGGGTGGTGGCACAAAAATTGGCATTGGTCTGCCAGGTGGAACCATAAGCAATGGTGCTCCTGCTGTTTGATACATATAAGGCTGTACTGCAGGTTGATTGGAAAAACTCAAAACAATATCGATGGCACCCTCAAGACCATCACCCTGTTTGCCACTCAACGGATACCATTCCTCGTGGGTTTCGCCGGCAAACACACGTTCCGGAATTTTAATTTCACACCAAGCTATCAGTTCGTCCATTTTGAAACTACACTCATCATAGATCTCCACATACATGGTATTGACTCCCACGGGCAATTGCGATTGGATAACACGATTCCAACGTGGATTCTTGCCGCCATTTGGATCGGTGTGCGTTTCATAGACATAGTGGCCAACACGTATGCGTACATAGGGATCCATGCGTGTCAGACCATAGTTACGGGCCAATTTGGCCTGGGCACAGGTAATACTTAGACGGCCCATATGATTGGGCGCCACATATTGTGGCATTTGTTGGCGATAGAGGGCCATGGCAGCCTGAGCATCGGCCGAGATATTGTTGGTCACCTCAAAACGTAGGAAATCATCGGGCAATGGTAAAAGCATGGCTTTTTTCCAACGATTTTCCACAGCTATAGCCATGCTTGTAACTATGCCTATGCAAGGCAAGCAAAATGGGAAAACTTGGTAGAGAGAGAATGATAGAGCGCGCGCGCGTTTTGTTTCTGCATTCCACACGAAAAAGGAAAACGGAAAAGAAAGGAAAAAAACGAAAGAACAAAATTTTAATTTAATCAAATCCCAATGCAAATCATTTTGGTTTTTTGGGAAAAATTACAAAAATATTTTAAGTTTAAGAAAAAAATGACTCGAAGAGGTATTAAAACCTTTCGAAAGGCGGCATTGAAGAAAGAAAACTACTTTTAAAAGGTGGAAACACATAGAAGGCTCTTCTTGCTGGCTCAAGTCATCGGCTAGCTATTTCCTAGTTTTAGGTTAACTTAGTCCAATGTCGGTATATAATTTATACTTGATCCTTCTTGGTGGCCTTTTCCAGTCGATGACTTTAAAGCCAGTAAAAGAAACCCCCCTTCTATGTATCAGCAGCACCTTAAGGGATTTTTTTTTTTTGGTGGGATTGGGAGGGGGCTAGACTTGGTTTCCTTGCTTTTCTCTTTAGCCGATTATTGTCTACGTTTTGAGGGGAAGTTCAACGCTTCTCTTTTGCCCATGTTTGTGCCATAATTGTTAGACTTTAAGTCGAATGGATGATAAAAAAAACAACGATCTTAAAATAGTCTCTCTACAGGTCAATCAAGTGTGTGTTCTCGTAGGAAAGTTCTTGGAAAACTATTAAAATTTTGAAAGAAAAAAAAATTGCAAAATTCAGGTTGAGATGAAAAAAAAAACTGCAACCAACTTCAGACTGCTGTCATTTCCAAAGACACTCGTCCGACAGATGTTCCTTGCTTCATTTCCAGCCACCAAATCTTCGAACGCATACCAATCCGTTGGACCATTGTGTCTGGAGTATTTTGCAAGGAAAGCAATGTTGGCACTAAAAAATACCTAACTTTGCCCGGGAATGGGCCAAAATACCGCAGAGCAACATTCGGGCAGCGACGGTGACAGACGGTTTCATTGGCCGTTTGAAGGCCATAATTCGTGCCAAAGGTGACCAATATTCGAAAAAATCTAAACTTATTCTAAAATTTGATGCTATTTCCGATATTTTTTGCTTTTATTCAATAAATTTAAAAAAAAATGTAAAAATTATGGGGTTATAGTTTTTTATCTCACCCTGTATTAAATTTCTTGCAGATTCTAGAAAAGAACAATATTTATCTTATTTACCCACCCACTTCAACATAATCGGGGACCAGGCAGCATAGGGAGTTCCATGGACAATAAGATTTTTCTTAAAACATCTGCACGCACGATTCTTTCGCCCAAGTGGCTTGTGGAGGAGGAATACATGATATTTGAATATTTCTGATAAAACAAGTTTGTTACCAATTTAAAAACTAACGAAATAAAACACACATCAATGTCTTTTCGCATGACAAGGTATTAATTCGTTTTTACACAATGAGTAACAAAACACAATGACGACGCTTTGCGTTTTGCGGTCAAAGAAATGGTCCCTAATGAAAAAATTCGACAGAAGATGATCTATACCCACGTTTTAAAATAATAAGACAATACACAAATCAAAAACAACTGACAAACTACACCAACAACAGCATTACTTTTCATTTCCTCTTTGTTTACCTTTTTGCGCAAACTGAAATCAGACACTTTTACACATGACCTTGAGTGTTTTATAAAAACAAAATAAACTTCACCTTTCTTTTTAGTTTTTTTTTTTATCACTTTTTCCTTTGTCTACTACATTCTTTCGTACATGACCATCAATGGTATTTATTTACACCTTTTCCTAGTTTTTCTTTTTTTTAAGACCTCATTAACATCAATATTTGGTTGCTTTGAACAATTATGGGTGCGAAGAGGAAGAGGAAAAACGACACCCTTCATTACTTGATGTTGTGGTTTTGCATTGGCATTGTTGCGCTTTTTCTAGCCAGAAATATATGTTAACAGGCAAAGTAGAAATTTGATTAGTGTAAAAAAAATTAATCACCCAACGCCGTGCACTTGACCCGCTAAACAGAACAACCAAGTCGATAGTTAAAGCGTTGCGTCGACGTCAGTTTATGCAAAGCATAACCGCATAACGAAGACAGTGGCAGCACACCCTAAACGGCGATCATTTCTAATGTTTATCTTTGATTTGAAAGGGAGAAAAAGAAAGAGAGAGAGAGGTAGACAGGGTTGCCCAATTTGATAACAAACACACCAAAAAGAACAACTACCCATATAGGCAAAAAAACCATGTATGAATCATAGTGGGGAGAGACTAAAATCCATGTAAAAAACGAATCATAACAACAACGACCGGCATAGGAGAAATAAAGGAAATATCGAAAAGGGGAAAAAAGTATGCAAACAAGGAGCACACAACCAACAATGGATGTCAGTAATTTTGCAATCAAATGCAAAATCTTAGTAGCGCGGCATTGCTTAAAACAACAACTAAAAGGAAATGTCATTCAAAAAAAAAAAAAAAAAAAAAATACGCACACATACAAACACATGAAAATAATGTTGTGGGCAGTGAATCACGTACACACACACACACACACACACACACACAAGAAGTTATGCATAGAGAATAAGCCGTGTGATGAGTACAGGATATTTCAAGACATTATGGGATGGTTGAAAGCAATGGGGAGGACCCACATGTATTTGGATGAAATACAAAAAAAAAATAAATCCACTTCAAAACAAGAAAAGTCAGCCAAACGCTGACGACGGATATATATGAAAGCAGAGAAATTCTGCTGACGCCGGCCGTTGCGGCTTATGTGTGAAAAGAATTTTAATTTTAACTTTTTATCGATGACTGGCTTTTGACGATGCAAATTGTTGAGCGTAAAGGGAAAATGAATATGTAAAGCAACCAAACAATGCAAAAATAACGACCAATAATAAATGTCTAGTCGTCGTCTGACTGCGTCATTGTCCCCCCTTTTTCGGAAACATACACAAATAGGGGTTCCAAAAGTTCATTGTTTTTTTTTTTTTTTTTGCTGTGGGTATCATTGGCATAACTCGGAAATTGTGTGCAGCGGAGTCATCACGACGTGTTTTAAAAAAAAGGAGAGTAATCCACAAAACAGCAGTCCCCACCCTTTTTCACACACATTTACATCGTTGTTGTTTAAAATAGACATAAATATGTCGTTTTTCTAGCAGCCTAAGCAAACTATTTTAAATAACATTTTTTTACGGGTATTATCAATTTTTCATGTAAATCCCCATGGTCCCCGTTCGCCCCTCACAAAGAACACACAACCTTTTTCTTTCATTGGTTTGGGTTTTAATACCTCTTCTGCGTTTTTTTCTACTCACACACACAACACTCTCTTTTTTCCAACTTATCGGTACTTACCTTTGTTCACCAAAGGAAAAATAATTCCACAATTAACACTTTTTTCTCTCTGTTATTGTTGTTATTCACTTTTTGCCTTTGATTTGATTTTGTTGTTATGAAAAATATGTATTGTTTTTTTATTGCGAGTAGGCAAAGAAAAAATAATAATAAAATTAAATTAGTGCGTCGTCCAACTCTACGTTGTTTTCTTGGTTCCAGCAAAAAATAAAATATTCTCTGTTTCGGCTGACAAGTAGGAGTAGCAAACTATCGATGACACTATCGTTGCATTCTTTGATGTACTACTATCGATTGACAGATTGTACAATCGAATAATATCGAATGTCATGCCATGTTCAGATGATAATGTTCGTAACCGTTATGTTTATCAACTTGGAAAACTTAAAGATATGACATCGAAAAATTGGCAAAACTAGGTAGATTCTTGTTGCAGGATCTGCAAGAAAGTATAAATTTTTACAACAATAACCGGGTTTTCCTTTATGATATCGAAATAAAAAAGGGCAAAAGTAAAAGATTTTTGCAGCTTCTGGAATTAGAATATATTAAGGCACAACTACATAAAATAGCTTTTTTTTACTGGCTTAAAGGTAAGAACAAGAACACAGAACAAGATTTTACTTACAAGTCATCGACTGGCTTCTTTGTAAAAAAACAAAGGAGCGTAGGGTGAACAAGTATAAATTGCGTGCTGAAATTTAATCAAGTCAACCTAAAGGTGTAAGTAGATAAAAAGCTTGAAGGCATATTAATGTCAAATTATAATGGAAACGACGGCAGGATTTTAGTTCGACTCTGTAATTTCTTTATGAAATGTCACAAAATATGCCTAGCCATGACTTGAAGCTTCTCATGTACTTGCACCCTAAAACTCCTTGTTCTTTAGCGACGAAGCCTGCCGATGACGCAAGCCAGCAAAAAAAGCTCTTTATGTGATTGCACCTTCATCTTGTATAAATAGACGAGCGAAGTTCAGAAGGGCTCCTTATAAATTGCAGCGAGTGTAACTAAAAAACTATTGAAGAACAAAGAAGAAAAAAACTCCATTTAAATTGAAACTACGCCATTTATTTACAAACATAAAAACTATAAGGCATTCCTAATAAGCAGCAGCTTGCACAATTTATATTTTGGTTTAAAGAGATTTTTTTTTTTCGTTCTAACAAATAACAAAAGCACAAAAGCTGATTTTCACCAATCCTTTTACTTTTCCTTGGTGGCGGATTGTTGATCTTGTCGCGTTTTCAGTATACTGGTTATAAGAAATTCACCGGCCTTATAGGAGCTACGCACCAAAGGACCACTGGCCGTATAGAGAAAACCCAATTCTTTGCCACGATTTTCCCAGGTTTTGAATTTTTCCGGTGTAACATATTCAATTACCTTCAGATGCTTCTTGGTCGGCTGCATATACTGGCCCAAGGTCAAACAATCTACATCGGCTTGACGTAAATCCTGCATTGTTTGCTCAACTTCGACATCGCTTTCGCCCAAGCCCAACATAATGGAACTTTTTGTCAGCAACTTGGAATTGAATTTCTTAGCCTCCGTCAAGACTTTGAGGGTTTGGCGATAGTCAGCACGTCTATCGCGCACAAAAGGCGTTAGTTTTTCCACCGTTTCAATGTTATGGGCATAGACATCCAAGCCAGATTTAGCAATGGTTTCCACGCAACTTAAATCGCCACGAAAATCGGGTACCAAACATTCAACAAATATATTGGGGTTTCTGGAATTTCAAAATAATTTTTTGTTATTAATAACAAAAAAAACAGCTGTTTTTTTCAATTTACCTTTGCTTAATTTCTCTAACGGTTTCGGCAATATGTTTTGAACCACCATCTGGCAAGTCTGCAAAATAAAGATAAATATCCCTGTCAATGGGAAAACTCCTTAACATGTTATGCCCTTCTATCTACCCACCATCTCGATCCACCGATGTCAAGACAATATAATCCAAACCCCATGAGGCCACAGCCTTGGCCACATTGACCGGTTCCAGGGGATCCAATGGTGGTGGATTGCGTGCTGTCTTCACTGAACAAAAACGACAGCCACGAGTACATGTGTCACCCATTAACTATTGAGGGACATAAAAACAAATAAACAAATGAAAAATGATAAGATGCTGGCTGGGGTCAAACGGGGGGTTATCAAACTTCACTTTACCATTATGGTGGCCGTCTGAGTGCCATGCTCTCCGCCACCCCAACATTCACCAATATTGGGACAACGAGCCTCTTCGCATACGGTGGCCAGTTTCAATTCCCTCAGTTGCGCCTTAATTTTGGCAAAATTCTTTCCCACCGGAATGGGGGTCTTTAGCCAGGGAGGCAAGCGTAAACGTTCATTTTCACCCTTGTCACGACGCAGTTTACCCTCAAACTCTTTCCATTCTTCTTTGCTAAGCTCCGGATTTTGTACAAAATCACCAAAATTTGGTCCCTTGGCTAAACGTTCACGAATCTCTTCGATTTTGTCTTTGGAATCGGCGGCGGCTGTAGTTGTTGCCGCTGATCTTGTCAAAACTCCTGCTCCGGTGGGCTAGGCAAAACAAACAAACAAACCAAGAATCATTGATTTTTCTACAATCGTTTTCCAATCCTTAGGCCATTTTCCACTTACCAAGACCGCCAAGGGTTTTGAAACATATTGTCGGAGCATAATAGGTTTCGTTTTCTGTTTATTCCGTGGTCATTCGATTTCCTTAGTTATGAAATTAAATGAACACACCCCAAATGAAAAACGTTCCAAACGAGGCAAATACGCAAGACAAAACATAATGCCAGATAAAAAATAGAGAGAAAATGATATGGCCGTATTTACGAATGAGTAGAACAAAGCAAGGAACCGTTGGTAAAGAAAGAGAAAGAAGATAGACTTAGAATGTTGCAAGATCTAGCATATTAATTGAAATATTCATCTAAATGAACCCATGAAACTAGTTGTTCTTATGGAAAAACACTTGTAGATTTATGCAGGTTCTGGAACGGAGCAATATACAGTTTCAAGAAGGTACATATTTGTACCACCATATATATATATATATATATATATATATATATATATATATATATATATATATATTTATTTATTTATTTATTTACTTATTTATATATTTAGTGATTCACGTTGAGATCGAGTGGAGTTCGTAAATCCGAACGTATTAATCGTCCGTAAAGCATTCTCAATCGATCATTACAGCATCGGGTTCCGTTGTTCCCTCCAGTGAATACGCCACCCAGCGCCCCTTAAACCTCTCAAAAAAGAAAATGAATCCGATCGGATCTATTGAGAAATTAAAAGATGGTAGCACTTATATTTGGAAATTTCACCCACAATATAATGGATTTGCTGCAACTTCAACAAAGGAATGCATTTCTCCACCAATAGTGGTGCAAAATGGTTGCATTAAATCGGAATGGAAAATTGCTGTGGCATTGAATGCATATTGCAGTGCAATCGATATTTTTGTGGAATTAATTTCCATGAGCACCATAGACGTAGACACCCTATTCCAGGTAACCGTATCGGCAGCACAAGAAACCTGCACCAAGAAGATATTACCAGACGTCATGAATAATAGAATTAAATTTATTCGGTTCAATTCCCAAAGTTATTTTACCTCTGCGGCTAATATGATCAAGATTGTTGTCAAGTGCGGGGGGAGCAATGATACGACGAGCATTACTAATGATTTTGCGGAGATATTGGCTAGTGGAGATTTCAGCGATGTAACCATTATCGCAGCAGATGGCACTGAATTTGAGGCCCACAAAGTTGTGTTGTGTGCCCGCAGTGAGGTATTTGCTGCGATGTTTTGCACTGACTGCTTGGAGACAAATACAAAACGCATAACAATCGAGGATATGAATGCCGACATAGTAGAGGAAATGTTAAACTATATGTACACGAATCAGATAATGGCAAATGACATGGCATCAGATCTATTTGCGGCCGCCAATAAGTATGCCTTGTTGGATTTACAAAGGATGTGTGAAAGCATTTTAATGCAAGCAATGGAGGTGAATTCAGCGGCTGATATATTTGTGTTGGCCGATCGTCATGCCAATGAAGGGCTTAAAACACGAGCTCTTCAATTTATTGCAGAGAACATAAATGCGGTCATAAAAACGGATGGTTGGAAAAGGTTGCGACAAATGGATCGAGATTTATGCATTGACATTTTGGAAAAAGTCATACAGGGGCGGTGTGTGAAGCTTAATACATAGTTATATAACTACAGATACAGCATATTTTTACCCTAAGAAAGTTACAATACATCTTGAAAATAATTTCCAATAAATTCCCTAAAATAGTAATATTCCATGCAGAATAGTCATCTAATGATATACCCTACAATATTAAGTTTGTCATTCCGTTTGTAACACCTCGAAATATACATTTTAGTGTTGGATTGGCGTTCAATTTTATACTTTGTTCATTTATACTTTGTAATTTATTTAACATTGTGTTCTAGCTAGCCTTGATAGAAAATGTGTATGCATTGAAAATATTTTCTAATTTTCTTGTCATTCAATAAAATTCAATTGCTGTGAAAAGTCCTCGGCCTTATAATTCCAATAGGTTATGGGCCCTTAAAGAGCTTCAACAATCGACAAAAGGATCAAGGATTATCAAGAAATACTAAGGACATCAATATTTCCAGGAACAGAATTCAATAAGGAGTAAAGGCAATATGGCTGAAGCTAAACCAAGATTTTCAAAATTGAACAATTCCAATTATGCAAATTGGAAATTCAGAATGGAACTATTGCTAAGGAAGCAAAATCTATGGAAGAAAGTAATTGAAGGACCAAGACCCCGTGAAAATCGAGGAGAAGCAGGTAATATTATAAATGCGGCAGCAATTAGTGATTGGGATGAAAAGGATGACGAGGCAAGAGGCACAATCGGTCTCTTAGTGATGGACGATCAATTATGTCATATAAGGCACCTTAAAACAGCAAAAGAGACTTGGAATGCTTTAAAAGAGTATCATGAGCGAAATACATTAACGAATAAAGTCTTTTTGATGCGTTCTATATGCTCATTGAAGCTTGAAGAAGGAGATGATGCGGTAAGCCACATTAATAACATGAATGATTTATTCACAAAATTAAGAGATATCGGTGAAGAGACATTGACGGATAAATGGAGTGCTGCTATGTTACTCAGTAGTCTTCCAGAGAGCTATGATACGTTGATAACATCACTCGAATCACGCAAAGAAGAGGAGATTACGTTCGCATTTGTTCAACAAAGGGTCATTGCTGAATTTGAAAGACGACTACATTCTAATGGCGTTTCAAATGATGCTGTTATGAAAATTGCTGACAATTCCAATAAGACGTGTTTCTTTTGCAAAAAGCCTGGTCACCAAAAGAAAAATTGTGTAAAATATAAAAATTGGAAAATAAAGCAAGACACCAGCAAAAACAAGTATAAGGTTCACGCGATTGAAGAAAAGCAGGAATCGCCAAAACCGCCGAATGATTTTCTTTTCAACTTTGGAAGTGCAAGTAAAGGTTCTTGGTTAATCGATTCAGGTGCTACAAGGCATGTGGTGAACAATAAAGAATTTTTTCGATCCTTAAATGAGACATACAAAAGTACATTGCAATTAGCAAATGGCGAAAATATTTTTGTTCAAGGATTAGGATATGGTGATTTAAAGATAGTGAATGATAATGGTGTTGAACGAAAAATTTCAATGAAAGAAGTTCTTTATGTACCTACCCTTGTTGGGAATATTCTATCAGTTAGACAACTGTCAAAGGATGGATATGAAGTCAAATTTAAAGGAAATGTTTGTGAAATTACACAAAGAGATATAACAGTCGGAATTGCAGATGTTAGTGGAGAAATGTATATTTTAAGGACACCAGATGCTGTTTGTACCTTGACACAACATAATGAAAATTGTATTCATCAGTGGCATCGCAGATTAGGCCACAGGGATCCAAAAGCAATTCGTAAAATGGAAGCAGACGGATTAGTTGAAGGTATGAAAATAGTCAACTGCAATATTAAAGAATCTTGTGAAACGTGCATAAAAGGAAAAATGACTCGGCTGCCTTTTCCAAAACAGTCAACATGTTCATCTAAAGCTCCACTAGATTTAATCCATACGGATGTATGCGGACCTATGCAGACTGCAACAGCTAATGGAAAACGTTATATTGTCACTTTTATAGATGATTTCTCAAGTTTCACAGTGATACAATTGCTAAAAGAGAAGTCTGAAGTGGAAGGGACTATAAGAGAATTCATAAAGTTTTGCAATACTCTTTTTGGCAGTAACCCCAAGGTAATCCGTTCCGATAGAGGCGGTGAATATACAGGAAAACGTCTACAAGATTATTTAAAATCGGAAGGTATCCAAGTTCAATTTACCACCCCTTACTCTCCACAGCAAAATGGTAAGGCTGAAAGGAAGAACCGCACACTTGTGGAAATGAGTCGATGTTTACTTATTGACGCTGATTTACCAAAATCATTCTGGGGTGAAGCCGTGTCAACAGCAAACTACATACAAAATCGAGTGCTAACGAGAGCAACAAAACAAACTCCTTATGAATTATGGTATGGTAAGAAGCCAGATGTTTCAAATATTCATATATTTGGTTCAAAATGTTTCGTACATATACCATCTGAAAAGCGGCAAAAGTTAGATTCAACGGCAAATCAGATGATTTTTCTCGGATATGATGCAAATTCAAAAGGCTATCGATGTTACGATGCGTCTAAAAACAAGGTTGTCGTAAGTCGGGATGTAAGATTTACAGAAGTAGAATTAAGAGATTGCTCAATGGATTTCCCACAAAAGAAACAAGGCACATTACAGATTGAGGAGGAGAATTTACCAGTTTCAGATTCTGTTTCCAATAGTGATGAAAATCTAACATCAAGGTCTGTTTCAAGTAATCAAGAAAATGAAGGAGCAATCAGTAATGTGCAAATTCAGGAGGAGAGTGAGAATGATGAGGAGCAAACAGTACGCGTGTCCAAAAGATCAACTAAGGGTATTCCAGCTAAACGATTAATAGATGAAATTTGGATGGCCAATCACGAACCAGAACCGAAAACGTATGATGAAGCTATTAAAGGCGATGATAAGGACAAATGGTTTGATGCTATGCAAGAAGAAATAAAAGCTATGAGAACTAATAATACATGGGACATAGTACCATTACCTGAAGGGAGGAAAGCGGTGGGCAGTAAATGGGTTTTCAAATTAAAAAGAAATGCCAATGGGGATTTTGTTCGTTATAAAGCAAGACTCGTTGCCCAAGGATATTCGCAGAAATATGGAGTAGACTACAATGAAGTGTTTTCGCCTGTCGTCATGCATACAACTTTTCGAATGCTTCTCTCTGTTGCTGCGAAACGAAATCTGATTGTACAACATATAGATGCAAAAACCGCATTTCTCAATGGAAATTTGGAAGAAACAATCTACATGGTACAACCGAAAGGTTTTGAAGATGGAAATGAGAAAAATGTTTGTTTATTAAAGAAGGCCATATATGGGTTGAAGCAAGCTTCAAGGTCGTGGAATAATTTATTGAATGAAACATTGACAAAGGCAAAATTAAAACAAAGCGTGAGTGACCCCTGTTTTTATTCCGGATATATATTAGACCAAATATGCTATATTATTATATATGTTGATGACATAATTTTGGCATGTTCAACAACTGATCAGATACAATGTATAGAAAAAATATTATCTGACAGTTTTGTTATGAAGAATTTGGGAGATATAAGAAGTTATTTGGGAATTCAAATTAGTAAAGATTTATATGGAAATTATGAAATTTGTCAATCCCAATATATTAAAAGATTAGCAGATGAGTTTGGCCTAGGAAGTTGCAAGTTGTCAAAATCTCCTATGGATATAAATTACGGAAAGAAAAACAATTCAAATTTGTTGGAAACTAATGCAAAATATCGAAAACTTATTGGTCATTTACTTTATATATCTGTTAATTCGAGACCAGATATTTCTGCATCAGTATGTTTCTTGTCACAGAAGGTTTCAAATCCGTCGGAAGAAGATTGGAAACAAAGTAAACGAGTTGTAAAATATTTGGTGCACACTGCAAGCATGAAATTAAACTTGAGCAATGTTCAAAAAGATAATTTGGAATTAATTGGTTATGCAGACGCATCATGGGCTGATGATCAAATTGGAAGAAAGTCAACAAGTGGTCGCATATTTTTTTATAATGGAGGAACAATATCATGGACGTGTCAAAAGCAATCCATCGTCGCTACTTCCACTTGTGAGGCAGAATACATATCTATGTCTGAAGCCGGAAAGGAAACTAAATGGTTGCGACAACTGCTCAGAGATTTCAATGAACCTCCTACCAAACCTACTGTTATTTTCAATGATAATCAAAGTTGTCTTCGAATTCTTACAGATGACAAATTTTCATTTAGAACAAAACATATGGATATTAAATATAAATTTACAAAGGAATTGGTGAAGAACAATATAATAATTTGTGAATATTGTCCGACTGAGGATATGATAGCGGATATTTTAACAAAGCCTCTACCAATATCAAAACACGAATTTCTACGTTTGAAGTGTAATATAAAATGAACGAGGAGGAGTGTTGGATTGGCGTTCAATTTTATACTTTGTTCATTTATACTTTGTAATTTATTTAACATTGTGTTCTAGCTAGCCTTGATAGAAAATGTGTATGCATTGAAAATATTTTCTAATTTTCTTGTCATTCAATAAAATTCAATTGCTGTGAAAAGTCCTCGGCCTTATAATTCCAATATTTAGACCTCACAAAGCATATATTTTCTTGATCAGCATAAAATTCTATGTCGATTTAGCGATGTCCGCCCGTCTGTGGAAATCACTCTAGCTTCCGAACGAATTGAAGTAGATTGATAACTAATTTTACTCAAATGTATTTTATGTCTGCAGGACTTTTGGTATTGAAAATGGGCCATGTATATCCTCGTTTTGGTATAGCCCCCATATAACCGTACCTCCCAATATTCAGTATTTTGATGATTTTAGCGACATTATTTACCGGAATTATTTCAAATTTGGCATTTGAAGTTCAAAATGGATACTACAGCCTAGGACAGAAAATTGTCTGTGCAGATCCACGTCTTCGTATAGCCCCCATATAACCGTACCTCCCAATATTCAGTATTTTGATGATTTTAGCGACATTATTCACCGATATTGTTTCAAATTTGTTATTTGAAGTTCGAAATGGATACTACGGTCTATGACAGAAAAGTGTCTGTGCAGGTCCACAATTTGGTATAGCCCTCATATAACCGTATCTCCCAATATTCGGTATTTTGATGATTTTAGCGACATTATTCACTAGAATTGTTTCAAATTTGGTATTTGAAGTTCGTAATGGATACTACAGCCTATGACAGAAAATTGTCTGGGCAGGTCCACATTTTGTTATAGCCCACATATAATAGTACCTCCCTATATTAATGATTTTAGCTACATTATGCACCCATTTTTTTTTTGAGTTTCGCATTTGAATATTGTAATGGCTTATGACAAAAGTTGCCTATGCAGGTCCAGGTCTTCGTTTAGACCCTAATATGACGGCTATATTTAATATTTTTTAATAAATTTTTAACGGATGTTATTTTTTTGAAAATTGCCAAATTCGCTCCGAATGGTAGAGGGTATTCAAAGTCCGTTCCGGAAGAACTTACACCTTAAGTACATAAGAAGTTTGAAGTCATGGCTAGGCATATTTTGTGACATTTCACAAAGGGATTACAGAGCCGCACTAAAATCCAGCCGTCGTTTTCCATTATAATTTGACATTAATATGCCTAGCCATGACTTCAAGCTTCTTATGTACTTAGCCCTTTACACCTGTTTTACTTGTTAATTATTACAATTTGGAGGAAGATGTGGTTGAATGTGTCATTGCCACACCGTTGTATGCATGGTAGAATAATACAGGTAGATGCATCAACGCTTGGCAACATTGATATGTCAAGAAATTTTAAATGTCTTTTCAAATATAAATATAAATTTATATGTTTTCTTATACGACGTCATTCGGAGGTCATTATAATTCGGGTTTTTCAACAATTTTTACAAATTTAAATAATTTTTCATTCAACATTTTCAATTTAAAAATTGGTTTGACAGTTCATTGTCCCAACGGCTGTGTAGATGCATCTACCTATATTCGTGTACCATGCCGGAAATACACAAGCAATACGATTGTCTTAATGTACTTCGGCTGAGAGTTGCCGAGCTGTATCGTTTGCCAACGAATCGAAACGATTGAAGACTAATACATTTAGAGTTGTAATTTTCTCTTTTTCAATTGTGGGATAAACATAATAAATTAATGACAACACATATTTTTTTGCATAATATTACTTTTTACATTATTTCATTATTTGCATTGTCCCCGTTGTTAATGCAGGAAGTGAAACTGAATTTACACTGCATTAAACAAATTTCATATGGCAACGCTGCTAACAATCAATGAGAAAATCAGAATTGATAACAAGAAACCATGGTAGAGGAATACAGGTAGAGGCATTTAAAATTTTTTTTTTTTTCAAAAATAAGTAGATTTGTATATGATTTTCTATACGACGCTAATCGTTGGTTGTTATGATATGCATTTTTTAACTATTTTTACAAATTTAAATAATTTTTCATTTAACATTTTCAATTTCAAAATTGGTTTGACAGTTCATTGTCCCAGCAGTTGAGTCGATGTGACTACCAGTATTCTTCTAGCATGCAAGAAACTACAAAACAAAAACCCAGCCAGTTAAAAAAAGCGTTCCATATATATTCTCAACTTTCAGCCAGCAAAAAACTTGTTATATGTGTTCTCGTCTTAACATTCACTGTGAAATGGTTGCCGACACACACACATATTGCACACCATTTGCCATAAGAGAGAGAGTGAGAAATGTAAACAAACAAAAACATCGTGAAACGTGTTCTACATCTGTTCCTACTTATTACCTCATTCATTTTGTTGCGGCCGTTCGGTTTTGTTTTTTTTGTTTTGTTGTAAATACTGTGAATATTTAACAAAATTTAGACACGTTTTAGACCTCCCTCCAAGGCAAATTATAAATTACTTAAAAGTACAATCTATCCTAATCAAAAGCAAAGCAAATATTTATATAATGGAAAACTTAAGGTAATAAAAAAAAAAACGATAATTAATATTTTGTTTTAATTATTACAACAATTATAACTAAACAACATCAATTATAATGAATTAATTTTTTGTATATGCAATTAGAGTTTCGTGTTGTAAAAAGAAAACCCCGGCCGGTAAATACACATGGGAAAGCTATTTTGAGTGTGCCATAGGGTTATTAATGAAGAACTATCACGACGATATGATAACTAAATGAATGGACATTTTCAAGTACCTTTTTTTTGACAACTAATAATAATATGTTTATTTATTGTAAAAAAGTATGATTTCAACTTGCTGGATGAAATCCAAACCAAACCTCCATCCTCTGAAGACAAGGATTGAATCTTTCGTATCGCAAGTTTTCCATTTAAAAGTCGAAAATATATAACTTTAAAAGACTACCAGTGATTGTCATACATTTAGATGTCATGGGACTACGCATTTAGAGTATTCCGATTTCACTTAAAGCAAGGCATCTCCTAATTGCCATATACCCCTTTTTTGGGTTTGTTGCCGTGTTTTGTTTTCGTTTTTGGTTTATTGCTTTCGCTGCTGATGACCTCAGTAAATCTGTGATCTTGATTGTCATTTTCTCTGTGTGTGTTCTCTGGCAAAAAGGCAAAAAAAATAAAACACAATATTCCATTTCATTCTGATAATATTCAATATTTTTGAGATTTTTTTCAAGTCCCAAAGAAACCCATCCCAACATCTTGGGATCAGTTAATTAAAAAAAACACTGATAATCATACTTTTTACTTATTCTACAAGCGACAACAACATCAACAACAAAAAAAGATTAGGATTGTTATCTCCCCACAACGGCCACACTTAAGAAATCATGTTAGTTTCACAATACCCTTGGCAACGGGCAGTACTAGCTGTGGTCCATAGACTCTTTGACAGATCGCAGGGCATAAAAAACATGCACACTCTTAAGTAAATTGTTTTGTTAGCATATTTTTGAATACAAATTTTATTAACATTTCCATTTTTTTTTCATTACAGGCAAGGTATTCTAGTTGGCTGTGGCAATCCATTGCTGGACATTTCCGCCAATGTCGAGGAAGACTTATTACAAAAGTACAATCTGAAACCAAACGATGCCATTTTGGCCGAGCCAAAACACATGCCCCTGTACAAGGAGCTAATTGAAAAGTATAAAGCTGAATTTATTGCTGGCGGTTCGGTTCAGAACTCACTGCGTGTCTGCCAGTGGATTTTACAAAAACCCAAAATTGCCACATTCTTTGGCTGTGTTGGCAGTGATGATTATGCCAAAATTTTAGAAGAAAATGCCACCAAGGATGGCTTAAATGTTCGATATCAATATAACACAGAGGCGGCGACCGGTACCTGTGCCGTTCTTGTAACCGGCACTCATCGTTCGTTGTGTGCTAACTTGGCTGCAGCAAATAATTTCACACTGGATCATTTGCAAATTCCCGAAAATAAGAAGTTATTGGATGCTGCTGAATACTATTATATATCGGTGGGTATTAAAACAAAAATGAAGGGTTTTCGTAAGTTCAGGATAGGAGAAAGTTTTTCAATTGGAAATTTTTCACAAAAAAAAAAAAAAAAAAAAAAAAAAAACTGGCGAATGGAGGCTTAAATGGTGCAGACATTTTCTCACAGAAAAATTTGCTTAATTTGAATTTAGGGGCTAGGCTTGGATTGACCTGAAAATTTTACCATGTGTAGGCCTTTTTAAACTGATTACGGCAAAGTATTTTTTTCTTTGTGGGAGAAATACCCGGTTTCTCGGTTATTCGACCGAATACACAAAATGGGTATCCTCTGAAAGCTTATGGAAATATCTATCTAACAAGTGGTAATATCATGGGTTGGCTTCAATCGGTTCCGGAGTATTACAAGAAAATTTCAATTTTTGTACCGGAACTTTTTGAAAAGCCCATAAAAAAGTCAAAAATGGACTCATTATGCGGTATTAAAAGCTGCATACTACATTATAGCCTACACACTGGCCTTTCCAAAATGGTGGCATATGTATTGATATCTCTTGTAGTTCCGAAGATATTGCAAATCATGAAATTGAGATTTTCTCCACAAATATGTAATAATACATTTGGAGACTTCTTATAGAAAAGTTTACAATTCAATATTTTTCTTGGAGAGAATTTCTCAAAAATTTCCCATAGAAAAGTCTACATTTGGAGATTTCTTATAAAAAACACACACAGCTGGCCACTTGAAAGTTGAAAAATTGAGAGTTCATAGAAAAGTTTACAACAGGAGGTTCTTGAACAAGAGATAGGAAAGAGTAGATATTTCTTATAACAAATTTAGAATTGGAGACAGTTTTTGTAGACTTGTTACCAGAAGAAATAGTCCGATCTGTACCATCTTTATAACAGATTTTGTGTTCCAAGTCTGAATGGGATCGAATGTTAATTTCGCGTTTTATGAGCTTCATGGCTACTCTTTGTGGGGGGGAGGTACCAGAAGGAGTGGGCCGATGTTGCCCATCTTCACACCAAACCTTGGGTTAATAAAAATATTGGGATATGTGTAATTTGAAGACAATCGGCGGACTCTTACATAACATATTATAAGAGTTGTAATTATTTAAAAATTTGACCCTTTGTGTGGGAGGTACCAGAAGGAGTGGACCGATATTCTCCATTTTCGCACCTGAACTAGTACTGATGTAAATATTAGGATTTGCAAAGTTTGAGCAAAATCGGATTATACATTCTCTTTCTGTGCAGAAAATATATTTTTGAAAATTTCGACCTTTTCTGGGGGAGGTACCAGAAGGAGTGGACCGATATTGCCCATCTTCACACCAGATCTTGGTTTAATAAAATCATTGTGATGTGTGTAATTTGAAGAGAACCGAGTGCTTATTTCGGATTTTATTATCATGTTTGTTATTCAAAACTTTGACCCTTGTGGTTGTGTGGGAGGTAGCAGAAGGATTGGTCCGATCTCTACCATCTTTTTAACAGATCTTGTATTTATGGAAATATTGAGATGTACCAAGTCTGAATGAAATCGGATGTTAATTTCATGTTTTGTAAGCTTCATGAATATTCAACAATTTTTGACCCTTTGTGGGGAAGGTACCAGAAGGAGTGGACCGATGTTGCCCACCTTCGCACCAAACCTTGGCTTAAAAAAATATTGTGATGTGTGTAATTTGAAGACAATCAGACACTAACGTCACATTTTTTTAAGAGTTGTAATTATTCAAAATTTTGACCCTTTGTGTGGGAGGTACTTGACGGAGTGGACCGAGTGGATTCATTTTCGCACCTGACCTAGTACTGATGCAAATATTAGGATTTGCAAAGTTTGAGCAAAATCGGATTATACATTCTCTTTCTGTGCAGAAAATATATTTTTTGAAAATTTCGACCTTTTGTGGGGGAGGTACCAGAAGGAGTGGACTGATCTCTACCATCTTCACACCAAACCTTGGGTTAATAAAAATATTGCGATATGTGTAATTTGAAGACAATCGGACTCTTACATAACATTTTATAAGAATTGTAATTATTTAAATATTTGACCCTTTGTGTGGGAGGTACCAGAAGGAGTGGACCGATATTCTCCATTTTCGCACCTGACCTAGTACTGATGTAAATATTAGGATTCGCAAAGTAGAAGCAAACTCGGATTATCGTTTCTCTTTCTGTGCAGAAAATATATTTTTTGAAAATTTCGACCTTTTGTGGGTGAGGTACCAGAAGGAGTGGACCGATATTGCCCATTTTCACACCAGACCTTGGTTTAATAAAATCATTGTGATGTGTGTAATTTGAAGAGAACCGAGTGCTTATTTCGGATTTTATGATCGTTTTGGTAATTCAAAACTTTGACCCTTTGTGTGGGAGGTAGCAGAAGGATTGGTCCGATCTCTACCATCTTTTTAACAGATCTTGTGTTTATGGAAATATTGAGATGTACCAAGTCTGAATGAAATCGGATGTTAATTTCGTGTTTTGTGAGCTTCATGGACACTCAAAATTTTGACCCTTTGTGGGGGAGGTACCAGAAGGAGTGGACCGATATTGCCCATCTTTACACCAAACCTTGGGTTAATAAAAATATTGCGATATGTGTAATTTGAAGACAATCGGCGGACTCTTACATAACATTTTATAAGAGTTGTAATTATTCAAAATTTTGACCCTTTGTGTGGGAGGTACTTGATGGAGTGGACCGAGTGGATCCATTTTCGCACCTGACCTAGTACTGATGCAAATATTAGGATTTGAAAAGTTTGAGCAAAATCGGATTATCATTTCTCTTTCTGTGCAGTAAACTATTTTCTTTGAAAACATTGACATTTCGTGTGGGAGGTACCAGAAGCAGTGGACCGATATTGCCCATTTCCGAAGTCGATTTAAGTTTGGCAATTATATTACGATGTACCAAGTTTGATTCAAATCGGAGAATCCCTTCGCGAGTTATCGTGCGCACCAGCCAGACAGACAGACGGACGGACATCACTAGATTTACTTCAAATGTCCTGAAACGGATTTGGTCCAAAGAGACCTGGGGTCTAAAACCTGACAATTTTCTTATAAATATATTAACCAATTTTAAACTTTTGTAATAAGAACTAAACAATTGGAGAATTTTTATTAATTTTTTTATTTTATTTTTATAAAAAAATATCTAAAGGCTGTCGTAACAGAAAATTCTGCAATTGAAAACATTTACATTTGGAGACTTTCTGCGACTTTGGAAATTAATTTTTTAGTGTAACTATTGAATACCTTGGAGACTTTTATTTATTCTAACTAACCCTGCCACTCTGATCTCATCAATTCTGTTTCCGTCTTTTCGTCTGCAGGGCTTCTTTTTGACCGTAAGTCCACCCAGCATTATGGAAGTTGCTCGCCTGGCACACAAACACAATCGTACATTTATGATGAACCTAAGCGCTCCATTCCTATCACAATTCTTCAAGGAACCCATGATGGCCGCCCTACCCTATGTCGATATACTGTTTGGCAACGAACAAGAAGTCGAGACCTTTGCCAACGAACAGGGCTGGACAACCAAAGATATCAAAGAGATTGGCCGTAAATTGGTGGCCCTACCCAAAGAGAATGGCCAACGTGAACGTATTGTCATCATTACTCAGGGTCATTTGCCGGTCTTGCTCTTCAAGGATGGCCAGATCAGTGAATTCGAGGTACCGCAATTGTCACGCGACGAAATGGTCGATACAAATGGTGCCGGTGATGCCTTTGTGGGTGGTTTCTTGGCCCAATATGTGCAAAAGAAGTCATTGGATGTTTGCATACGTTGCGGCATTTGGTCGGCGGGGGAAATTATTAAACAAAGCGGTTGCACATTTGAGGGTAAGCCATCGTTTGAAGAGCAGCAGTGAAGGGGGAAGCATCTTGAACATGCATGTCAGCCATGTGTGTTTTAAACAAAAAACAATGGCCTTTCAAATTGAACTTAATTAATGTAGTTATCCTTAACAACAACAACAACAATAGCAACAACCATGGGCAACAACATTTACTTATGCTAAGTAGTAAAACCTCCACTTCCAGCCGTATATCTTCCCAAATAAAAGTTGTGGGTTTTTATACTTTAATATAGAGAAATTTGTTTATATATATATTTTTTTGTATTTTATACACATATGTATGTATATAATTTTTGTTATTTTTTGGGAAATAAAAACGACTTTGGAATTAATACTGTGCCGCATGAAAGCGTTTCTTTCATGTCCGCTTAGGGGAGAAGCAAAAACATTATTCAAAACGCAGTTGGAACATGGCATGATTGAAGAATACAGGCATGGTTGAAGAATACAGATATATCTGCATATATATATATAGATGCATCAACACTTGGGAACATTGATATGTCAAAAAATTTTAATGATTTTTGTAAAAATAAGTAGATTTTCATATCATTCGGAGGTTATTATAATATGCCTTTTTCAACAATTTTTAAAAATTTCAATAATTTTTCATTCAATATTTTCAATTCCAAAATTGGTTTGACAGTGTAATTTCTTTATATTTGGCTGGAAAACTCACAAGTGGCTATCGTTAGAGCACTCCAGCATTTAAATGTGAATAAATCTTTTGTGTCTCGTACCCGTATCGCTCGTGATCGTGATAGCGTTACTGGTAGCGTAGCCCGACGTCAAGGAAGTGGACGGAAGAAAACAGCAACATCAGAAGAAATGGTTCGAAAAGTAAAGAAGCGAAGCGACTTGATCGAAATCCGCGTCGCAGTGACTCGTTAGCTGAACATATCGCAATATTCCATTCGGAAAATATTGAGAAATGAAAAAAAAAGTACAAGAACTTACACCGCAACGAAAAGAAAATGAACTTAAAAGAGCTAAAGAGTTGCTTCGCTTGGCCGAAAGTGGTGAACTGCCGAATTTGGTTTACTCCGATAAGAAAACATTCGTTGTCCAGCAGTTTGTAAGAAAGATCGTGTTTACTTGCCAAAAAGGCCAGCTGAAAATGTGCACCTTCGCTTCGCCACCAGAACTCAAGCGCCGGCAATGGTGATCGTGTGGGCCGCCATAACAGCCGATGGTGTCTCTCCGCTTGTTTTAATCGACCGTGGCATCAGAATAAATACCGAATATTATCGCGAAAATATTTTGAAGGGGAATATTAAAGCCTTGGGTACGCAAACATTTTGGCCGCAGACCTTGGACATTCCAACAGGACTCAGCACCATCGCACTTAGCACGCGCCACCCAAGAATGCTTGCAAAATGATGTTCTTCGCTTCATTTTCAGCGCACAATGGCCAACAACATCTCAGAGCGGATACCAATCCGTTGGACTATTGTGTCTGGAGTATTTTGCAAGGAAAGCAAGGTTGGCACTAAAAAATACCAAAGTGTCAACCACCTCAAGTAAGCGCATCGCCCGGGAATGGGCCAAAATATCGCAGAGCAACATTTGGGCAGCGTGCGACTCACCCTGTAGTAACGATACCGAACTTTAACTACGAAATTTGAGACAGTTCTGGTGAATAATGTCGCCAATATCAGCAACAAAACGAATAAATGGTGGTACCTGCACAAAAAATTTTCTGTATCTAGTATCCATTACAAACTTCAAATATCAAATTTGTATTGATGGAAACAATTCGGGTGAATAGTGCTGCTAAAATCATCAAAATGCCGAATATCGGGAGGTACCATTATATAGGGGGGCTATACGAAGACGTGTACATGTACAGAAAATGTTCTGTCACAGACTGTAGTATCCATTACGAACTTCAAATACCAAATTACAAACATTTCCGGTGAATAATGTCGCTCAAGTCACCAAAATACCGAATATCGGGAGGTACCATTATATGGGGCCTATAGCAAAACGTGGCTCATTTTCAATACCAAAAGTCCTGCAGACATAACATACATTTGAGTAAAATTTTATCAACCCTACTTTATTTCGTTCGGAAGCTAGAGTGATTTCCACAGACGGACATCGCTAAATCGACATAGAATTTTATGTTAATAAAGAATATATATACTTTGTGGTGTCTACAATGTATGTTTCGTGGTGTTACAAACGAAATGGCAAACTTAATATACCCTCCATGCTATGGTGGAGGGTATGAAAAAAAAAGATTGTTAAAAAAAGCAACTGATCTTACTGGATAACTCTTACCGGGGAAATTCTTCCAGTAAAAAAAAAAAGAATGGAAAATCTCAATAACTTAAATGTTAAAATATCTCTCTCATTTCGCTCTGGACATTTGGGTAAAACATTTCAGTAAAAATTTGTACAAATTATCGAGTAAACCATGGTAGAAGAATATAGGTGGAGGCATCGACACAGCTGCTGAGGCAATAAACTGTCAAACCAATTTTGAAATTGAAAATGTTAAATGAAAAATTATTAAAATTTGTAAAAATTGTTGAAAACGCTAAAAAGAAAAGATATATAAATCTACTTATATTTGAAAATACATTTGCATTTTTTGACATATCAATGTATCCAAGCGTTGATGCATCTACCTGTATTATTCTACTATGGAGTAAACGAACACTCCTATTAAAAATGCCAAATTGAGCGGTAAAATCAAAGATCGGTGCCATACATTAACTCATCATCGCCGTCAAAAAAGAAAAACTTATTTGAAATGACATCACCTTCCTAATTTCACCATGGGTGCATTTTTAATGCCGGACGTCATCTACCAACAAATTGCAATAAATAAAAAAGAGCACCATAAAAAGTGGGATTTTTGTTGTTTCTTTTTTGGGTAAACATCAAAATAAAAATATGTCATTTTAGCCGACGTTTCCAACTCCTACGGCGATAGGCTGTCATTTGGTTTCTTCTTTTGCCTGGTTTTATGTTCTGTATGTCTTTTGTATTTTGTTTTTCTTCAGTTGTTTTGTGATAAGAAAACATGATTATGCACAAAATGGTTGGTTTATATTTATTGAAGATTTTTACAAAAGGCGGATAAGATAAATAATTTCGATTTGATATTTAATATAAGATAATGAGGAATTTGGAATTCCAGCGAATTAGAAAATGTCCAGAATGAAAAAAATTCGATGTTTTATACAGACGTGTGCGTAGCTAAACACACATATGTACTTATAAAACTAGAAATGCTGTTTCGCGACTTCTTCCAAAACGTCCATACACAACTGGTGATCCGTTTGGCGTAACCTTTTCCAACTTTCCGTATCCGTGACCGTTTTAATGTTTCGCGCAATAAACGTAATAGCTTTGGTCTTAAGACGTTCATTGCCATGAAGGTCGGCTAATCTGAGTGTATCAGCAACTGAAGCCACATCCATTGTTTCGATTAATGCTTGTTCGCACATGTCCTGTAAATGCAACAAGGCGTATTTATTTGCTGCCGTATATAGTGCTGCAGCCATTTGGTTTGGTATTTTCGGAGCAAGTTGAGTTTAGGGGCTATGCTCGGATCATTTTGAAATTTTTACCGCAGGTAGGTATTTGTAACCTGATTACGGCAATGTATTTTTTTTGTGGGGGAAATACCCGGTTACCCGGTTATTCGACCCAAAAGTTCGAATACAACATCCGGTTTGTATCCGGTTCTACGTAACCGATATCAATAAAATGGGTATCATTTGAAAGCTTATTAAAATACCTATCCAACAAGTGGTCATATGACGGGGTTGCTGGAACCGGTTTCGGAGAAATTTAGGAAAATTTGCATTTTTGTATGAGTACTTTTTGAAAAACCCATAAAAACTCGAAAATGGACCCATTATAGGGTCTTAAAATCTATACACTATATTATAGCTAACACTATTGCCTTTCCAAAATGGTGTCATATGTGTTGATATCTTTTGTGGTTCCGTGGATATAAGAGATAGAATTCATTAAATTATATTTTTCTCCAGTCTAGACGCATTTGACTTTGACCTTTATAGCTTTTTTAAGCAACCGGCCTTCGGCCGGGGCTTAAGATTTTCTCCTCTGGGGTATGTCCAACACCGGCTACGCGATCCATAGTTTTTCTAAAAATTGTACATTTTGTAAGTAGCCGGCCTTCGGCCGGGGCTTAAGATTTTCTCCTCTAGGGTATGTCCAACACCGGCTACGCGATCCATAGTTTTTCTAAAAATTGTAATTTTTGTAAGTAGCCGGCCTTCGGCAGGGGCTTAAGATTTTCTCCTCTAGGGTATGTCCAACACCAGCTACGCGATCCATAGTTTTTCTAAAAATTGTAATTTTTGTAAGTAGCCGGCCTTCGGCCGGGGCTTAAGATTTTCTCCTCTGGGGTATGTCCAACACCGGCTACGCGATCAATAGTTTCCTAAAAACTGTAGTTTTCGAAAGTAGCCGGCCTTCGGCCGGGGCTTAAGATTTTCTCCTCTGGGGTATGTCCAACACCGGCTACGCGATCCATAGTTTTTCTAAAAATTGTAATTTTTGTAAGCAGCCGGCCTTCGGCCGGGGCTTAAGATTTTCTCCTCTGGGATATGTCCAACACCGACTACGCGATCCATAATATTCTAACAACACCAAATTAAAAACAAAGCGGATTAACAAGAACGTTAAACCCGACACAAAACTTGGGTTCACTCAAACTGCTTTCATAAGTAACGACTTTAAAAGTCAATATCTTCGGAACTACAAAAGATATCAACACATGTGACACCATTTTGGAAAGGCAATAGTGTTAGCTATAATATTGTGTATAGATTTTAAGACCTTATAATGGGTCCATTTTCGAGTTTTTATGGGTTTTTCAAAAATTACTCATACAAAAATTCACATTTTCCTAAATTTCTCCGAAACCGGTTCCAGCAACCCCGTCATATGACCACTTGTTGGATAGGTATTTTCATAAGCTTTCAAATGATACCCATTTTATTGATATCGGTTACGTAGAACCGGATATAAACCGGATGTTGTATCCGAACTTTTGGGTCGAATAACCGGGTAACCGGGTATTTCCCCCACAAAAAAATTACATTGCCGTAATCAGGTTACAAATACCTACCTGCGGTAAAAATTTCAGGTCAATCCAAGCATAGCCCCTAAACTCAACTTATGCCGTATTTTCCGATCAGTGTACAGATAGTTCAGCATTTCTTTCATTACTTCGGCCACACTGCGGGCACTTAACTCAAATGTGTGGGCCTTAAATTCAGTACCATCTCCTGTGACAAGGGTCACATCGCTGGATTCTTCACTGGCCAATATTTTGGCGAAGTCATGGGTCATGTTGCATTCAGTGGATTTATTGGATAGACTTTCAATTTTTATATAAATATCTTTAATTTCAGAAAGATTATTGCAATTTACACTTATTGTACCTCCCTCATTGCCTACGATTTCTATGCTCCTGGTAATTGCTTCACATCCAAATTTTTCTATAGTTAGCGTAACACGGAACAAGGTGTCCTTGTCGTCTTCGCGAAGACACATGGCCGAAATCAGTAACGTGGATTTGAAAAAATTAATTATTGCTGTTACATCCCAAGTGGATTCTAGGCCGCTATTTTCATCCTTAAATGATAAATGGCTACTTTCCCGTTCTGCATGACCTAACATGCATGCCAATCCCAATATATACGTATTATCATTTACTTTCTCGAGACGTTCTATAGGAACAAAATTTAAATCCATCTTTCGTAATTTTAAAGGTTTAACTTGTGTTTCCGCACAAAATAATTGTAGAACTGTTGAACTTATCAAAGGGTGGAATGAACACTTAATCTAATATGTAGTGCTTGGTTATGAGTAATAGCTTGGTTATGAATAATAAGGGAAAAACCGCGATTTGTTTTGTTAAAGGTCATAAGCTAAAGGGAGCCGGCGAATAACGGCGATAGGTTTCAATACTTTTATGTACGACACGTTACATACCGATCTTCGGGCAATGATCTGTGAAAACTTAATGGAAGCTGTGACTCATGACTTCACAGGAAATACTGATACTAATACTAATCCGATCATGTTAGAAGAATACAGGTAGTCGCATCGACACAGCTATCGTTTTTTTTTTCTCTCACGTTCACTTTATTTATTGACCTATAATTATAACATTTACATCTGCAATGGTTGAACAGTTAATTCATGAATCTGAACATGCGGCGGTGTGGCAATGGCAAAATGAACACATTCAGCCACATCTTTGGCTTGCAACATCGTTTGGCCCCGTCTAAAATCGTCTGGAACTATGTCGGTATCCGTTTGGCCGGGACTAATACTCTTCAAAAAAAAAAAAAAAAAAAAGAGAGATTAAAAACAACAATCATAAACGTTTTATTCACACCAACTTACCGTCACCTTTATTTTTGTACCCAAACCCATAAATTCCTGGCGATAGACCTCCGTCATGGCTGTGACGGCAAATTTACTGCAGGGATAGATATTAAATGGTGCCGGTCCTTGGCCAACCATGGGTATACGATGGCCCAATGTACTATTGATGAGTATCACATGTCCGTCAAAGTTACGTTCTTTCATCGATTTGAAGGCACGCTGAGTACAGGCCACCAATGCCACAACATTCACCTGCAATATGTTCTGGACGCTTGCTAATTCCATGGTCGCCAATTGGCCCAGGGTAAAGGCACCGGCATTGTTGATCAAAATATCAATACCGCCTAGATTGGCTTCAATCCAATCAAATGCTTCGTTAATGGAACGTGTATTGGTTAGATCACACTTGACGGCATGCAAATTCGCCTGCAATGCCTCGGGCAATTCTTTGCGATACTCCTCAATGGCATATTTGCGACGAGCCAGACCGACAACGACTAGACCCGATGTCAGGAGATCTTTAACAACGGCCGCCCCAATGCCTGAACTGGCTCCAGTAACAACGGCAATACGTTTATGCCAACGTTCCATGTTAATGGCTTGCAAGTGAACTGATAAATCTAAGTTTATGCTTTTTCCAAATTTCGATTACAAACGCTTATCTGGCAAATCCACATATCTATCTCATCGTATCAGTATTTTATTATTTTTATACATATTTATTTCATTTTGGAGATAAGACCGACAAAAAATAAAAACGATCGATGACATGCAAGTTTCCAATACAAAATTGACCGAAAATGCCTCAAAATGATGTTTTGTTTATTTTCCAGTTTCCGTTAAAAAAAATCTTTTAATTTTACGGCAGTTTCATGGTACAAGAATACAGGTAGATGTATCAACACTTGGGAACATTGATATGTGATAATTTTTAAAATGTGTGTGTGTGTTTTTTTTTTCAAATATATGTAGATTTTTATATGTTTTTTATACTACGTCATTCCGAGGTTATTATATTTCGCGTTTTTCAACAATTTTTATAAATTTAAATGATTTTTCATGATGATTTTGATTTTTGCATCTACCTGTGTTCTTGTACCATGTTGTGTCATCAAACTGATGCTGGGTTCATACTGATGACAAATACATAAGAATATATTTCTTAAAGCTAACTGGCCACACAACATATTTGCTTCCAAATGATAATTAACAAATGGTATATTTTGTCGGAAATGTGAGCCAAGGTTTAGCCATGGCACAATCTGCTTTTTGGGATGAAAGAAAATCGCTATCATATTAGAAACTCTGTTCTTATTGAATAAAAGCAAAAATGTCGAAAATAGCAACAAATTTTAGAATAAGTTTAGATTTGTTCGAATTGATCACCTTTGGCACGAAGCATGGCCTTCAAACGGTCAATGAAATCGTCACACGCTACCCGAATGTTGTTCTGCGGTATTTTGGTCCATTCCCGGCGAAGCGTTTGCTTGAGGTGATCGACACTTTGGTAGTTATTTAGTGCCAATCTTGCTTTTCTTGCAAAATACTCCAGACACAATAGTCCAACGGATTGGTATCCGCTCGGAGATTTTGGTGGCCATTGTGCGCTGGAAATGAAGCGAAGAACATCATTTTGTAAGCATTCTTGGGTGGCGCATGCTGAGTCCTGTTGGAATGCCCAAAGTCTGCGGCCAAAATGTTTGCCTGACCAAGGCTTTAATATACCCTCCAGAATATTTTCACGATAATATTCGGCATTTATTCTGATGCCACGGTCGTTTAATACGAGCGCAGAGCAAACATCGGCTGTTATGGCGGCCCACACAATCACCATGGCCGGCGCTTGAGTTCTGGTGGCCCAGCGAAGGTGCACATTTTCAGCTGACCTCTTTGGCAAGTAAACACGGTAATTTTGATAGTCTACAAACTGCTGGACAACGAATGTTTTTTCATCGGAGACCACCAAACCAAATTCGGCAGTTCACCACTTTCGGCCAAGCGAAGCAACTCTTTAGCTCTTTTGAATCTATTTTCTTTCTGTTGCGGTGTAAGTTCTTGCACTTTTTGGAATTTCAATGGCTTTACCCCGAGCTTATTTTTTAATACGTGCCGATTGGAATGTTGCGATATGTTCAGCTCACAAGCCATTTTTCGGCCATTGCGACGAGGGTTTCTATCAAGTCGCTTCTATGAGTGCAAACAAGTCGTTTCAAAATCAAAAATGTTTATGAATAAAAATATTCCAATATATTTTATGTTATCTGTACTTTAAGTCCTCCAATATATTAATAATTAACTAAAATTAAGTATTACTAATTTATGTTATTTTGTTGTATTTTTTTCTGTTTCGGTTTATTCATATGTGTTCTAATTTAATTTTTTTTGAGGTTTGTTCTTTCTGTTTGGTAATTTCCATTTGAATTTTATAAAAAAATATTTAAATGTTTTTTTATTTACTTAAATTTACAAAATATATTTAAATTTGTAGACTAATATTGGTTTGTATACAAATAAGGAGAAGTAATGATTCGTTTTTTTTTTTTTGTTATATTTTGTAAAAATATTAAACAATTGTTTTAGAAAAAGAATTTAAAAAGAACAATAGCTTGGTTCATTACCAAATATTTGAAATAATAAAAAAAAACTTGTTGATACATTAAAATAAAAAAAAATCAATCAATTTTTTAAACATAACAGGATTTTCTTTAAGGATGATCGGAGTTGATGATGATATATGTAAAAATCATGGTTTTAGTGATTTTTTATTTTTTTTTTTTTGCAAAAATTAGAATATAAGAAATACTATACAATCTGTGTGTTGGTGTGTACTTTGGAAAACAACCAAAACTTGGCCCTGTTTTGTAGCTATACACTTTTGACCTTCTAGTAATTAAAAAAAAACAATAGCTTAATGTAAAATAACAAGTTGTGGCAACCCTGTCTTGAAAATAGCAACATAATGTGTTTAATTTGGTTACATTAAAAGATACAATTTCTTAATCTATCTCTCTTGCTCTCGGAGATTACCAGTGACATGTAACTGTGAACCGGGAAAACATTTTTCCTATGTATAAACCATGGTAGAAGAATATAGGTAGTCGTATCGACACAGCTGCTGGAACAATGAACTGTCGAATTGAAAATTTTGAATGAAAATTTATTTAAATTTGTTAAAATTGTTGAAAAATGCCTATTTAAACAACCTCCGATTGTTGTCGTATACGAAAACTTATAAAAATCTTCTTATTTTTGAAAAAAGAAAACATTTTAAAATTGTTGACATATCAATGTACCCAAGCTTTGATGCATCTACCTGTATTCTTCTACCATAGTATAAACAATATAAGGGAGACGGAAAATAGTTAAGGTAATACATCATATTCAAGATGTGGCCACCAGCCATTGGGCTACTTTAAATATTCTTAGGAGTTTGTAAGACAAAAACAAGGGAACCATGCTGGAAAGCTTTGGTGTTGTATTAAGGAAATCGTTAGGTCTTAGATGAGAAATTTAGGGTAAATATGTGTGAGAAATTTAAAAAATTTATAAAACAATCCCTGGTTTACTCCCTTCCCTCCCTCTCTCTCTTTTGATAAAAAAGATTTTATTTGCCACGAAATTGTCACTGTGTATGGTCATCAGATTACATATATAATACAGTAAATGACCATTAAGAAGATAATAATTAATGTATGGCCATGTAACATAACATGGAATTCCATAATTTTTAATTCAATGTGTTGCCGTGTAGCATACAAAATTTCATGTGTGGCAAGTTGGCTTTAATTTATCTAGCAATGTACATATTTGCATATGTCCAGTTTAAGAGAGATTAATAGCTGAGAACATGAGAGATATTAAATAAAAACGCGCGAAACCATGCGTCTGTGTAACCCAAAAAATGTCACCATAACTGGAAGTGGAGAAAAACATAAACTTAACCAAACACCTAAAAGAATAAACAAAATTATTTGTTCATAATGAGACTGATAGAGAGAGAGAGCGAGGGGGAAAAGGTAAAAAATGCAAGAGCAATTTACAAAAGTAAATGTTTGAGAGATCCCTTTTTTCCCCATTCTGCTTTCGTTTGGTCAAAATCATCTCACCCTCACTCTCTCTCTCTGTGTATCAAAAATATATAGACAAAAAATCACCTTTGGTTGCCTGACATTACACAGAAAATAAGGATATGTATCAACGTTTTTCCGATTTATTATTTAGAGGCACTGAAAGACGGGTGCGCAGGCTGTGAGTTGATGATGATGCATTTTTACCATTTGTTGTAGTTTTTTCCTGGGCTTTATTGCTGCTTTCCGATGGAAGACCGGCTAGAGATTGACGTCGAGTAGTTAAACGTTTCGATGGACCAGTAGCAGCAGAAGCATTGCTTGCCGAGTTGTTGGAGGCAGAAGATGTTGAGTCCTTGCGTGCATTGTTACTGCTATTGTTTGGATTGTTGGAGGTATTTGCATTGGCAGTGCTATTGTTTGTTAAGTTGTTGCTGCTGTCGCTACGTTGGCGTTTTGTGGCAGGTTGTGGCACATCTAGGTGGGTGTGCAAAGTTTGGAAAAATGAGACAAACATAGTTAAATATATGACGACATCAAGACAATAACTTTTGTTTTGTTAAAAAAATACGGAAGAAAAACATTTAAATAAATATTCACTAAAATCATCAATGATTTAAGTCGCCTGTGGTTGCTGTAAGGAGTTGTTGATTTTGAAATTTGCTAAGTTCTTCATCTTCTTTTGGGGCATTTCTATAAATTTGTTTATCTACATCATCACCATGCTGTCCACCATTAACATCATGGCTATCAACACCATCATCATCATCTGAGCTCACAAGAACGAATCATCATCCATCATGGTACGATAATATATATATTTTTTTTAAATTTTGTCAAAAAAAGAGAATACAAAAAAAAAAGAGATGCAAAAAACAAATATTTTTAAGATTTGGAATAATCTAGACAAGAATTGACAAAGTTTTGCATGAAAACGTGATTGTGTTTTAAAGGGCTTGGCTGGGGTCGTAGGAGATGTATTCATGATCGATGATGCGGTATTCAGAAGCTGTGTATTGCGGTAGTATGAACATCCTCCAATAGAGAGAAAAAATGAAAAAAGATAGTAAAGAGATAGATCGATGCACAACAATATATTGCAGCTATGAAGAGGTGTCTGCTGTCCCCCACTATCTGATGTCTGATGGTTTTGGCTTTATGGCATGATTTATATACATGGTGCATGTTATGATTCATGATTTTGTTGGAACTGTGATTTAGATGATATTAACTTGAATTATTGTTTACAAAACAAAATTAACTTTTATTGAAAAAGTGATGAGCAGTAACTTAAAATAGAAAATAATATTTTGTGACAAGAAAAACTAAATAATTCACAAATTCGAGATTTTCTCTATCATCGAAGAAGTTTTAAGTATCATTTCTAGCAAAAAAAAAAAAAGGCTTTCGCGTGGCAAGAGCTATGGAAGACCCTAGAGAGAAGGACCTCCATACTTTTGAAGACTATAAAGGGGATTTTTATTAAATGGAAAATCATATAGGAGGTCTTATATCACATAGAAGGCTCTCTTAGGGCACTTTTTTATATAAGGGCTTTGATAAGGACTTCCTAAGTGTAGGGGTTAAGTCATCGACTGTCATTGGCTTAAGTCATCGGCAGGCTTCTTCGTAGATGAACAAAGAAGTTTTAGTCCTTACCTTAATTCTATCACATACAGGGTTAGATGAAAAAACTGCAACCAACTTCAGAATGCTGTCATTTCTAAGCCAATCGTCCGACAGCAGTTAAAATTATTCCAGTGACAGCTCGTAGTGTTTACAAGCATTTTGGTGAGAATTTTCCAGAAAATTTCCAAAAAAGGGAATACATAAAACGCTTATTTTGCTGGCTTAAGTCATCGGCAGGCTTCTTCGTAGAGAAATTAAGGAGTTTTATGTTAACTTAGTTCGATTTTGGCCATAGGCTCCTTTGTTTATTTCTGAAGAAGCCAGCCGATGACTTAAGCCAGCCAAATAATCGCTTCAAGCGTGATGGTGTGATTTCTTTATATTTGGCTGGAAAACTCACAAGAGGCTATCGTTTGAGCACTCTAGCATTTAAATGTCAATAAATCTTTTGTGTCTAGTACCATCGCCCGTTAACGTGATACTGGAAGCGTAACCCTACGGCAAGAAAGTGGAGGGAAGAAAACAGCAACATTAGCAGAAATGGTTCGAAAAGTAAAGAAGCGACTTGATCGAAACCCTATCGCAGTGGCCAAAAAATGGCTCGTGAGCTTAACATATCGCAATATTCCATTCGGCAAATATTGGAAAATAAGCTCGGGGTAAAGCCATTGAAATTCCAAAAAGTGCAATAACTTACACCGCAACAGAATGAAAATAGACTCAAAGGAGCTAAAGAGTTGCTTCGCTTGGCCGAAAGTGGTGAACTACCGAATTTGGTTTTCTCCGATGGGAAAACATTCGTTGTCTAGCCAAACAGAAAGAAAATAGACTCAAAGGAGCTAAATAAATATTATTGCGAAAATATTCTGGAGGGTATATTGAAGCCTTGGGTACGCAAACATTTTGGCCGCAGAACTTGGACATTGCCACAGGACCCAGCACCAGCAACACTCAGCATGCGCCACCCAAGAATGGTTACAAAATGAGGTTCCTCGCTTCATTTGCAGGGCACAATTGCCACCAAAATCTCCGGATACCAATCCTTTGGACTATTGTGTCTGGAGTATTTTGCAAGGAAAGCAAGGTTGGCACTACAAAATACCAAAGTGTCGATCACCTCAAACAAGCGCTTCGCCGGGAATGGACCAAAATACCGCAGAGCAACATTCGGACTGCGTGTGACGATTTCATTGGCCATTTGAAGGCCATAAGTCGTGCCAAAGGTGACTAATCCGAATAAATCTAAACTTATTTCAAAATTTAATGCTACTTCCGACATTTTTTGCTTCCATTCAAAAAAAAAAAAAAAAAAAAAAAAAAAAAAAAACAAAAAATGTAAAAATGTTGGCGTTTGACTTTGTTGCAGTTTTTTTTATCTCACCCTGTATAACATTAAAGACCCTGTAGAATTCCTTGTGTTACAGAAGTCTCTAAGAGTTTAGACTTGCATATCAGACTCTAAATGGGACCTTCATTAACGGCGAAATAAAACATTCTTAACCGCTTTTTGCCATTGGGAACAGCCTTTCTAAAAGTTAGTCTTTCATATAGAAAAGTCTGAGATAGATAGAGTTCCGCATTAAAGGTCGAACACATCTTGTATAAAATGGAAAAGCTATGAGGGGATATCCTTTTCTATTTTTCACCGTCTAAGGTAGGTCTTCTATATTATATCGAAGACTCGGAAATTTTCCATAAGCTCGAAGACCCATTGGTCTTTCCATTATATTGAAGACACCCTTAAATGTCTTCTATTGCATGGAAGAATCTAGAGGGGTCTATCAAGACATAGCTTATAACACAAGAGCCTCGAGAAAGTCTTCTATATTAGATAACTTTTTTGGAAAGTATAGTGTGACCAGAAGCACTATAAGCTTCGTAAAAAATTAAATGGATTTTCAAATTTGTGAATATATTTAATTTCAAGTCTGCATTGAATCCAAAACCATTTAAAATTAAAAAAAATAATATAAAACTGTAGCAAAACTCACCTCTCATTGATAGCCTTCTTTTGGTATTTTGTGTTTTATCCGACTCCCTGCTATTTGCCGAGGACGATGATGATGATGATGACGACACTGCAGATTTATTATCCGTTATTGTCTTTTTATCCATGCCATTTGAAAGACGACGCAATCCATTCGATTTCTCATTACTATCATCATCATGTGCTGCCGACTTCTTGGCAACACCTTTGCCATTGCTTAGCTTTTCGCCGTTTACGACTGTTGCAACAACATTATTGCCCTCACTGCCGCCATTTACGGCCGAGTGTATACTGGATCGTTTGAGTGCACTACCAGCGCCCGAACGCTTGGCTGGCGGTTGCATTGATTTCTTGTTACTACCCGGGGTTTCGAGTTTATTTTGCACAGCCTTATTTGCCGCCGTTGATGCAGTGACCGGCTTTTGGGGAGATTTTAGTTTTTGTTCCTCCTGCTTATGTATACCAACTTCTAGCCAATATTTTAATTGTTGTTCACGTTGGCGGGACATTAAGACCTGGCCTTCGGGATATCTACTAAGGATACCTTGAAGTTTTTGCACAATCTTATAGAAGGTTTCCGGCGAGATCAGGCCATAGTCGTAGAGAGAACTCATGTGTAAAATAAAGTTGCGATAAATATTCTTGCGTATGATTTCATAACCATTGCTTTCAATGAACATTTCACAGGCAATCGGTAGCTGGCAGTCGCCAACAAAGCCATGTTTCATAACATGTAAATTCCAGAGCTTCATGAGCTCCTTTTCGCCCTCATTGACATCGGTGAACTCGTCAATCATCTGTATGGTCTTCTGGCGTAGCCACAAGGGATCACTTTCACCCTCCGAATCGATGTCAAGTTCTTTGGGATGTACAGGCAGGCAGGTTTCGGTGTGATGATAGAGTCTGCACAATAATTGGAAAATGCTATTAGAAAATGTAATAATCAAACGGAGGCAAGGTAAATAACCCACCTGTTATGACCTGTTACATAGGGCCTTTGATTGGACAAATCATCTTCATCCAGTTCCAAAAATTCATCCAAACAAGTTTTTTGACGTCGCGGGCGACAGACCAACAGATTCGTGACCGAGGTACGCCGAACTGGGCCACATGTCCGGGCAAAGGAGCAACCAGAAGGCCCCGCCAAATCATAGGGGGAGCCGGCATATGAGCCATCGTATGAATCATTGATGGTAACATCAATGCGTGCCCCATTACCAGCGGCCGGTTGATAGGTAAAATTAAATCTGGCATGGCATAGCTTCAAGTGTTTCAGCAACGAATATAGTCGCATACAATCCAGGCCACACCATGGACAAATCACCTCTTGGGTATATTCGGTTTGTTGTCGTGTATTGTTGCTGTACAGAAAGTTGTAAATAATTTGGATTTTTTCCGTTTTAGCCAGGGGTTTTTTACTTGACGACACCAATGATGAACCACCGGCTAATCTAGAACCAGTTTTTCTGTTAGTAGATGAGCCCTTAGGACAATTATTATTATTGTTATTGTTATTATGCTGGATTTGTTCTGTTGCCGCAATGTTATCTTCCTCGTGAAGAATTTCCGAAAAACTGCCATATTTCTCCATATCACTTGACAAAATCTCCTTCGGCAGCTCATTTGCCGACCATGTCAGGCGAAACTTCAAGGTTGGATATTGGGCAAATACATCAAATTTCATCGATATTGGAATGTAATTATCGGGCAAAGTTTCCCAACTACGTTTCTTTGGTGAAAATGATTTGATTATTGATGAGTTGAGTTCCTGCAATGCAGCATCATAGTCGCCCTCGGGTATACAGCCTATGTTCTTCTCATAGACAATAACTTCACAGCCATAAAGTTTGGTTGACATTTTGGGACGTTTGGTGGGCGTTTCTGGAAATGCAAAATGGAAAAGTGAAAAAATAATGTTTTTTTTTCGAAAGTGTTTGACTTACCATTATTGCCATTTACAGTATTTTCATTGCTGCTGGGTGCAACTTTAATGCGAAACAACAGCTTATAAATGGTATGTTGATCCCCCAGCGATTGTATGGATTGAGCCGGTATGGATATGGCGGTCATTTGATCCAAATTATCATGGGGATTATAAACCACAGTGGATGAATAGGACTGAAAAAATTTGGCCAAGGGAAGATAATTTTAAAACTTCACAGATAGAACCCAGACACATTCTGCAATACATACCAATACTTCCTGGAAATCCGATGTGCTATCCTTTCGTTTACTTTTGGTTATTTTATATAAGGTCGCCTCCACTGTTACCACATCGCCTTGCTGCCAGCTATGCTCAACACTGGCATTCTTTTCAAATAAACCAAAATAGATGATATTCAAAAAGTTATTGGTCAATGTCTGACCCTTTTGCGTGATGGTATCCAACATATTGTTGACTTTAAAATTGTTGCGTTTCTTGTGATTGCGCGACATGCGTTCCTTCATGTAGCTGAGGGTACGTTGGAGAAATAAGGGACTGGTGCCATGGCGAATACGCAGAAAACGATATATTTGTGTGGGTTCTGAGACAAAGAAGCAAAACAAAAAGTATGGCATTAGTAAAGTGGACCGAACATTTTACGGCAATACAAAGTTCAACATACTTTCAAAGGCCTGCAAAAAGAGTTCCTGCTCCTGTTGCTGACCATTCAGTTTGATTTGTTCGGTCGACGTTGGCGTCGCAAGTGCACCATTTCCATTTAACATATTTGGCTGTTGTTGCTGCTGGTGATTGTTATTTGCCTGACTGTCCAAATTATTATTATGATTTGCCATGGAATTGGAATCATTGGAATCTTTGGCTTCCTTTTCACGTTTCTTTTGCGGTGGCATTTTTTTCATTTCTGTTTTTCTTTTTCGCAACCAAACACGCACACTCACTTAAACACACACACACGCACGCACACACAATCCTCTCCGTTGTGAGCAAACAAACCAACCAACGCCAGACTTCTTATAATTGCCACCAAAAAAAAACATAAATTTTGCAATTATTCATGCAGAACTTTTATATTCTCATATGCACTATACTCTGCCTTGTCCTTGATTTTAATTACCGTATTAAAAAGCTTAATTTTTCCATAAAAATTGTTCATTAAAAAATCCGTTTGAGAACACAGCGCGCGAATCTTTTTACAATAGAAAAATAAAAGACATATAACTAATCACCATAGAGTGATAGCCGGGAAAATGGAGAAGGGCAAAAGGTAACACTCACTGCCAAATGATGCCTTCTAACTGAACATATCACATTCACATGAGTACACATTATCGAGCATCCTCTATATATTTATTTATTTATTTCTTCCACTTAAGTAATACAAATCCCATCAAACCATATACAATTATTACTAGTTACAAAAAAGCCTGAGCTTATAATAATACAATTATTTCTTATTTCCTAAAATACACCATAGCCGGGAATATGGAGAAGGAAGAAGGCTACACTCACTACCAAATAGTGCCTTCTAACTGAACATATCACATTAACACGAGTACACATTATCGAGCATCCTATTTTTAGGCAAATAATTTAGTAATTTTTTTGCTGTAAAAGAGCAAGGGACAATATGGTGATAAAGATTAATTTCTTTTTATTATTTTTTGTTGTGCCTAACTTCGAAAGAAAAATCCATTAAAGTCAGAGAATACATAAGAGGATTTTTCTGGCATAAATCAATGGTATGTTCTTCAATAAAACAAATCAAATTCTTCTTAAGTACAATGTTTATTGACAATATAGTAGAGTACACATTCAGCTTGTATAAAATCAAAAAAAATTCGCTAAGTAACAACTTGTTGCATTCGTTCATCGAACGTTTATCCTATAACTAAAATAAGAAAAAAAAAAAACTTAAGTATCACTTGATCGTCCAATTGCCACAATTGTTGCATTTTTGGCATTTAATAAATGTGACATTTCTTCGTGACCTTCGGCGGAAACTCCAATTTGTTTATCATCCGTTGCTTCCGCCTCGTCAATATACGGCAGGGTCGATAGGTTACCAGTTGCTATCGCCGCCCCCACGCTACTCATGCCATTTTGTTCAATGTCTGTCTTTTTGAGATCTTTCAATTCCACCGGATCCGCCGCAGCCGTGGCTGTATCATAGATGGGCGGTATTAAACGTTTTCGGGAAAGTAATAACCAAATCATTGAAACCAACATCATAACTGAGGTCAAGCCAAATGTCCAATAGGTACCCAGACGGGTATAAATCGAGCCAACGAATACCGGGCCCATAACACGAGACAAACAGCCGGAACCTATTTGGAAATAGAGACAAGAATATTTATAAATATTTGCTTAAGGTTTTATTGTTTTTTTCCCCACCTGTCATCAAACCCATCCACACACCCTGAGGTCGGGGCCCCAACACTTTGGAGAATATGGTCTGTATCAATGTTACCCCAATGGGGTAACCAATCGATGTAAAGGCATAACCAATTATGAACTGGGACAATGTTAGAGCTGGTGTGATTTCACACCATTGCTGGGTTCGTGGACAACCCAAAAATATCTCATCATCCGGTGTTAAATCCAATGTTGAATTGCCCGTCAGCGGTATTGTTACATTATAAACTTCGGCAACTTTCGGTGGACCATCACCCCAGGGTATGTAGAGCACCCGTCCCAATACCATCAGCGAGAAACCACCCCATATCAAAACTTGATTTTCGGGAAAAAATTTACACAGCGGATTGATGGCAACGAATGTTATTAGCGCCACAATGGCTCCAACGGACATCAGTATTCCCATATAGTGTACGGCCTGTTCATTGGACCAGGCGAATTGTTCCATGGTTAAGGATGTGCCCAAGCTAAAAGAAAGAACCATAATTGAATGATTGCAATTGTGTTCATATGAGACTTAACCATTGGTACAACTTACGTTTCCAGCAAAACAAAATTGAAAACCAACACAAAAAATGCCACAATCAGGGTCCAAGCCGATACATAGTCGGGTTTAATGGATTTCCAGGTTTCTTTTTCAGATGTTTTTCCCTGCATTATCATAATTTCACGGGCGGCTACTCTACGTTCCTGGAATGAGATATATACGAAAAAATGTAGTAAATTTCAAATATTCAAAAATCATTGAATTAGGAAAAATTTATTCAAAGTCATATTTTCTAGAGAAAAGTTCAATCAGGGAGAACTTTCCTACATCCAAATAATCTTTCCAGCAGAAGAGTTCGACCAGAAATGAATTATTTTTATGGCAAAACACATCAAAGGTCCTTCAGGGTGATTTTGCCTATATAACAACCCATCCATAAGTTCATCTTTGATGCATTTTTATAAAGAAAAGTAAGAGTGCCATCCCAGATGAACATTTCCATGTCTAAAAAATTAAATACTGCAATTCGCCTGCTCACCTCAAATACGGCCGGCATAAACATTATTAGATTTCCAATACTCATCACAACATTAATCCAACTCGGTGCAGTGTACATGTTAAAAACGACGCCGCCACCAAACAATTGTATGCCATCCGAACCCAAGGGCGTAACCAGAGCCTGCAGTCCCGGACCAATGATGAAACCCAAAACTTGTGCCAACGATATCATCGACACAGCATTTGTGCGTTCACTGAGACGTGTTGCATCCGACAGATACGAACGACACACGGCCGTATTTGACGAACTGACACCAATGAGAAATCTCGATGCCCACATCCAATATTTCACATTGTCGGGTTTTAGTTCCAGCGATGAATACATGGCACTGGCCACTGTGAAGAGCGTAAGGGAACAAATCATGGGTATTCGGATGGAATGTATTTTATTGCTCCACCAGCCAAACAGGGGGCTAAATATCATTTGACCCAAGGGATTGGCAGCCACAATAAGACCCATAAACTCTTTGCCGGCGCTTGGATCTAGCTAAGAAGAAACGGAAAACATGATGGTTATTAAAGCATTCCATTACTAGTAGATAGATATTACCTTCTTCAAATATGGCCATATTCCGGTGAGAATTATACTGAAGGCAAGCGACATCAGGAACATGGTGAAATATATAATACGCACAGATCGCCAGCGGGCCCGATATTCATCCAATGTTTCAAATCCATCATTGACATTGTCGGGAATTTTTGTGGTACGAAAACTTTTTTTAAGTTTTTCCATTGTGACCACAGATGTGAGGGGGGTGGGGGCGGTGGGGCAGGGTGAGAGGGGCTTTGTACTTGCACCTGGTGCTGTGTTTTGCCTATTAATTAAGTGAAATAGGAAATATCAAGTCCTTTTTGAAGGACTGGCAACTTTGAACAGTTATCACAGATAATGTTGTTTGTTATGTTTCCAATTGGGCATGCTGGAAGAATGTTTGGAAAAAGAAGAAATATTAAAAATGTGAATTTTTAATTATTTTTCATAAATACTTGTTTTCCATTAAGAAAATAATGCAAAATTGCATTGTGCTTTAGTATAATGTCACATAAATCCATATGGCGGGAGAACCAGACATTTATATGCTGCCTTACTGCACATGCATGAATGTGTGTGTGTGTGTGTGTGAGAGAGATTTAATATATCTCTGCTTTGAAGTCATTGTCGATAAAAGCTTTATTAAAGGATATTTTAAGAAGTGTCCATGAAATCAAAAGCTCCTTTGAAGGAATGTCTTGTGTCACATGCTGCTGAATGTTTCATAGAGGAGATATAGGGACGCTTTCGACCCCCTCCCTCGTCTTCCCACAAACTCAGAAATGTGTAATGAAATACATCCGTGTCTGGCGCAAGAGAAAAGACGTCGTTAACAGCTGTTGCTGCTACAGTGTCAAATAACACAATTTACTAAAGTCACATGGCCACATCCTAAACTCGATGTTCATGATATTTGTTATGGAAAAATTAATATTTCTTTAAGGTGAAACTTTTGCTCTGTTCCAGGACTGGAGGAATGCAAAAATGTTTACTTTTTTTTCTTTATGATTTTGAAACAAAAATTGCAAAACTGATAGATTCTGGCCGGTTCTGGCATTGAGCATTTATTGATCTTTAATGAAAAAATGTATTCAAAATGATTTTTCTTTTCGAACAGTTGGTACGAAAGATATTAAAAAAATAAATTTCATACGACTGGACGTTTTTATAAATAAAAATACATCATGAGCTTCATATTGGGATGAAGAATTTTCCTCATATGTGAACATTTTTGCATAATACTTGGCCTGTTCCAGAACTGCAAGAATGTAAAAGACAGCCGATTTTCCCTTTATGATATTGAAAAAATTTACGAAAGTTGTAGATTCTTGGAGGTTCTGGAACACCCCAAATATGTATTATCAATGAATTTGATTCTATGAATATATTTGTCGTGGACGAGTTAAGGTGGGAATACATAAAGCGCCTATTTGATTGGCTTAAGTCATCGGCTGGCTTCTACGGAAATGAAGAAGGGAGCCTAAGGCCAAAATCGAACTAAGTCAACCTAAAACACCTTTTTTCCTATACGAAGAAGCCAGCCGATGACCAAATAAGTGCTTTATGTATTCCCATCTTTAATTTTTATAGAAAAAAAATATCAAGAACAAAATTTTTATTTAGAAAAGTTCTGTATTGATATATATTTTTACAAATTATCCTGGACAAACTTACTTCTTGAGAAGACTTGATCATAAATGAACTATTCTTAGAAAAATCTATGAAAATCATTCCTCATCATTTTGTGATCGCTTATTTTTTTATACCCTCCACCCATGGAAGAAGAATACAGGTAGATGCATCAACGCTTGGGAACATTCATGTCAAGCATTTTTAAATGTCTTTTCAAATGTAAGTTGATTTTTATATGTTTTCTTGTACAACGTCATTCGGAGGTTATTACAATACGCGATTTTCGACAATTTTTACCAATCTTAGTCATTTTTCATTCAACATTTTCAATTTCGAAATTGGCTTGACAGTTCATTGTTGCAGCAGCTGTGGCGGTGCGTCTACCTATATTCTTCTACCATGCCTCCACCATAGTATGGAGGGTATATTAAGTTTGTCATTCCGTTTGTATCACTTCGAAATATAAAATTTAGACCCACAAAGTATAAATAAATATAATAATAATATATATAATAATAATAATAAATAAATTCTATGTCGACTTAGCGATATACGTCCGTTTGTGGAAATCCCTCTAGCTTCCGAACGAAATGAGATAGATTGATAAAATTTTACTCAAACGTATATTATCTCTGCAGGACTTTTGGTATTGAAAATGAGTCATGTAGGTCCACGTTTTGGTATAGCCCCTATATAACGGTACTTCCCGATATTCGGTATTTTGATGATTTTAGCGACATTTTTAACCGAAATTCTTTCAAATTTGGTATTTGAAGTTCGTAATGGATACTAGAGCCAAGGACAGAAAATTGTCTGTGCACATCCACGTCTTCGTATAGTCCCCATATGACGGTACCTCACGATATTCGGTTTTTTGATGATTTTAGCGACATTATTCGCCGGAATTGTTTCAAATTTGGTATTTGAAGTTCGTAATGGATACTACAGCCTAAGACAAAAAATTGTCTGTGCAAGTCCACGTCTTCGTATAGCTCCCACATAATGGTATCTCCCGATATTCGGTATTTTGATGATTTTAGCGATATTATTCAACGGAATTGTTTCCAATTTGGTATATGAAGTTCGTAATGGATACTAGAGCCTAAGACAAAAAATTGTCTGTGCAAGTCCACGTCTTCGTATAGTCCCGATATAAGGGTACTACCCGACATTCGGTATTTTGATGATTTCAGCGACATTATTCAACGGAATTATTTCAAATTTGGTATTTGAAGTTCGTAATGGATACTACAGCCTAAGACAGAAAATTGTCTGTGCCGGTCCAGGTCTTCGTATAGCCCCCTTACAGCTTTTTTACTCGTTTCTGTTTCATTGCATTTCCTCGATAAGCAAAACAGAATCGATGTTTGTTTGCGTGTATATTTTTAGTTTATACCTTAACTACGGTGCCATGCACAAAATAAGATAACTAGAGCACTTGGAATTATAGCTTTACGGCACACCACGGCGTCTATAGAAATTAATTGCCAACATTTCATATCAGAAAAAAGAAAACTTGAGTTAGAGACTGATTAAACAAAACTACAACAACAACAAATATTGGGTGGAATAAATATAAATATGTATGCATATTCTATTTTACCCGTCAAATAAGTCATAGATGAAGAACGTTTTCTGACAACAACTCATCATAGATAAACTATTTGCAGAATTTATTTTTGATCCGTTTAAATGGTGTATTTTATAATTTTTGGCATTATCTGTGGCCAAATAAATATGTGACCTTCATTCGGGTAATATTGTTAACAGTTGGGTTAATTTAATCAGTCTCCAAATTAAGGTATCTTTTATGGTAACTAGCATGGTAGAATTAAGAAGGTAAAGTCATGTGATCATTTGTTTACAATTTTTTCAAAATTACCATAATTTTTACACTTTTTTTAATTTTATTGAATGAAAGCAAAAAATGTCGGAAATGGCATCAAATTTTAGAATAAGTTTAGATTTGTTTGAATTGATCACCTTTGGTACGAATTATGGCCTTCAAAGGGCAAATGAAATGAAGTCACACGCTGTTCGAATGTTTTTCTGCGGTATTTTGGTCCATTCCCGGCGAAGCGCTTGCTTGAGGTGATCGACACTTTGGTACACTTTTAGTGCCAACCTTGCTTTTCAAAATACACCAGACACAATAGTCCAGCGGATTGGTATAAAAATATTTTGATGGCCATTGTGCGCTGAAAATGAAGCGAGAAACGTTATTTTGTAACCATTCCTGGGTGGCGAGTGCTTAGTGCGATGGTGCTGAGTCCTGTTGGAATGTTGAAGGTCTGGGGCCAAAATGTTTGCATACCCAAGCCTTTAATACATCCTCCAGAATATTTTCGCGATACTATTTGGAATTTATTCTGATGCCACGGTCGATTAATACGAGCGGAGAGCTTGAGCTCTGGTGGCCAATGGAAGTTGCACATTTTTCAGTTGACCTCTTTGGCAAGTAAACACGATCATTTTGTTGGTTTACAAACTGCTGCACAACGAACATTTCTCATCGTAAACCAAATTCGGCAGTTCACCACTTTCGGCCAAGCGAAGCAACTTTTTAGCTCTTTTGAGTCTATTTTCTTTCGGAACAAGTCTAGTTTAGTAAAAACTCTTAGATTTTTTCGAAATTTTTTCCAGAGGTAGGTATTGTTACCCTGATCCCGGGAAACTATTTTTTCTTGGGGGACGGACCCGGGACCCCAGATTTTTGACCCGAAAGTCCGGGATCAAGACCCCGCCTGGACCCGGATCCACTTACCCGATATAGACAATATGGGTATCGATTGAAAGCTTATGGAAATACCTATCCAACAAGTGGTCACATGAACAACAAGTGGTTGTCATGATTCGGAAGTTATAGTCAAATTATCGATTTTTTGGACCCGGATTTTTTATGAAACCCCCAAAAAGTCAAAAAAGGGCCCATTATGGGGGACAACAAAATTGATGCCAAATATATTGTCTATATCGGGTAAGTGGATCCGGGTCTAGTCGGGGTCTCGAACCCGGACTTTCGGGTCAAAAATCTGGGGTCCCAGGTCCGTCCCCCAAGAAAAAAATAGTTTCCCGGGATCATGGTTAAAATACCTACCACTGAAAAAAATTTTCGAAAAAATTGAAGAGTTTTTACTAAACTAGAGTTAAGCCAAAAAGTGTTTCGAAAATAAGTAAATTTTTGTAAGTTTTTTTTTTACGACACCAATCGGAGGTCCGTATGATATGCATTTTTCAACAATTTTTATAAATTTTAATAATTTTTCATTCAACAACTTTCAATTTACAAAACTGGTTTGACAGTTCATTGTCCCAGCAGCAGTGGCGATACGACTACTTGTATTCTTCTACCATGCCTCCACCATAGTATGAAGGGTATATTATGTTTGTCATTCCGTATGTAATACTTCGAAATATACATTTTAGACACCACAAATTGTATATACTCTTGATCAGCATAAAATTCGATGTCGATTTAACGATGTCCGTCGGCTGTCCGTCTGTGGAAATACCTTTAGCTTCCGAACGAATTAAAGTAGCTTGATAAAATTTTAGTCAAATGTGTGTTTGGTCTGCAGGACTTTTGGTATTGAAAATGTGCTATATAGGTCCACGTTTTGGTATAGCCACAATATAACGGTACCTCTCGATATTCTGTATTTTGATGATTTTAGCGACATTATTCACCGAAATTGTTTCAAGTTTCGTGCTTGGAGTTCCTAATCAGTACTACAGCCTGTGACATAAAATTGCCTATGCAGGACCTGGTCTTCATATAGCCCCCATATAACTATACCTCCCAATATTCGGTATTTTGATGATTTTAGCGACATTATTCACCGGAATTGTTTCAAATTTCGTATTTGAAGTTCGTAATGGATACTAGAGCTTATAACAGAAAATTGTCTAGGTGGGTCCACGTCTTCATATAGCCCCCATATAACGGTACCTCCCTATATTTGGTATTTTGATGATTAAAGCGACTTTATTCACAGGATTTGTATTTGAAATTCCTTCAGCCAGTGCCAGAAAATTTTTTAAGCAGGTCTTCGTATGGCCTCTAAATATCGGCACCTTTTACCTACATTATTCACTGGAATTGTTAAAATTCCGAATGTTGCTCTGTGGTATTTTGGTCCATTTTCGGCCGAAGCGCTTGCTTCAGGTGATCGACACTTTGGTATTTTTTTGTAGTGCCAATCTTGCTTTCCAAAATACTCCAGACACAACAGTCCAACGGATTGGTATCCGGAGATTTTGGAGGCCATTGTGCGCTGGAAATGA